CAATATAAATTGGCTGGAGCTCAGGGCCATCCACCTGGCTCTCCAAAGATTCTCCCCCCTTGTATCAGGGAAACACGTATTAATCCTGACAGACAACATTGCGGCCAAAGCTCACGTAAACAAACAAGGGGGCACCCACTCTTGGGCACTCATGCAGGAAGCCCAGGCCATAGGGCTGTGGGCAGAGTCCAACCTGAGGTCCATCAGGGCAGAGCACATATCGGGGGAGGCGAATCAACAGGCAGACTCCTTGAGCAGGGTCACAGTGGATCACTCAGAGTGGAAGCTAGACTCAATCCTATTCCAGGAAATATCACGCAGGTTCAGACAGCCCATCCTAGATCTCTTTGCCTCTCCGATCAATGCACAGCTCCCCAGATTTTTTACCAGGTTTCCGGCGAGGGGGGCGGAGGGAACGGACGCCCTCCGGAGCAGATGGCCGGAGGGCGTACTTTATGCATTCCCTCCTCTTCCACTAATACAAGCGACCATTCGCAAGCTCATCCAGGAACAGGCAGAGCTAATCTTAGTGGCTCCATTTTGGCCAAGACGCCCGTGGTTTGCCGACCTGGTGGACCTGTCAATTTCACCTCCATGGAAGATTCCCCCGGACCGAGTAGCTCTCAGCCAGGGGAACCTCCAACATCCGGATCCACAGTGGCTCCAATTAGCCGCTTGGCACTTGAGCGGGAGAGTCTGACCAAACAGTCTTTCTCCTCTGGGGTTATTTCCATCATCCAGGCCTCGAGGCGTCCCTCGACCAACAGAATCTATGACGCCACTTGGAGAAGTTTTTGCTCTTGGTGTACCAAAAAGCGGCTTTCACCGCTTGCTGTCTCCATCCCAGACATATTAGATTACTTACTTGAGGGGTTAACTAGAGGTCTGTCAACCAGCACCATACGTAGGCAGATAGCAGCCTTGTCGACAGTTCTCACCTGTGACAACCAGGTTTCCCTGTCCCAACACCCAGCAGTCAGTGCCTTTCTCAAGGGTGCGGCCAATGTAGGGCCCCCCACGGTTCATCGTTATCCATCCTGGGACCTCTCTAAGGTGTTACAGGCTTTAACGTCCTCTCCATTTGAACCTCTGAAAGTTTGCTCCCTTCACTTCCTTACATTGAAGGTAGCCTTCCTAGTGGCCATCACGTCGGCCAGGAGGATTTCAGAATTGGCGGCCCTGTCGGTCAGGGAGGACTTGTGCATGTTCCATGAGGATAGAGTGGTCCTCAGGTTGGATCCTGCATTTGTTCCAAAGATCAATACAGGGTTTCACCGCTCGCAGGAACTAGTCCTTCCTAACTTCTGTCCTAACCCTTCCCATCATCTGGAGAGACGGTGGCATATGTTGGATGTGCGCAGGGCTCTGCGCCATTACATTAAACGAACCTCGACCTTCAGGAAGTCCGAGGCATTATTCGTGTCCTTTCAACCCTCAACTATGGGTCGGAAGGTCTCTTCTTCCACCATTGGTCGGTGGATAAGGATGTGTATTTCCAGGGCTTATATTTCCCAGTCCCTTCCGGTACCTTCACATATTACTGCTCACTCTACACGTAGTGCTGCTGTCTCAGCGGCTTGGTCTACCCAGGCATCACTCGAGGAGATTTGCAGGGCTGCGACATGGTCCTCTCCTTCCTCATTCATAAAACATTATAGGATAGATCAATTTGCAGCAGCTGAGGCTGCTTTCGGTAGGAGAGTCCTACAGCAAATAGTGGGTTCTCAGGGGTCACAAGCCTAGACTCCCTCCCTATAGGGACATGAGCAGCTTTGGTATGTCCCAATCAGTGGAGTCTACATCCATCCTGATGGAGAAAAGAGCGTTGTCTTACCTGAACGCTTTTTCTCAGCAGGATGGTGTAGACTCCACACCCACCCTGTTAGTGTTAGTCTAGGCCTGTGTCTTCCTTTTTTGTTTGGAGCCTTGCGTCTGGTAGCTTCGCCTCGACAAAAACTGGGAAGTCACACCCAGAAGGAGGCGTGGCAGAGTTTTTTTGTCTTAGTCTGAGCAGGTGGGATTAAATTACCCAATCAGTGGAGTCTACACCATCCTGCTGAGAAAAAGCGTTCAGGTAAGACAACGCTCTTTTCTCAAACTAACTTTGTGACCTTTCTCCCATTATTGGCAACTCCACATGTACAGTTACAATGATTATTTGTGGGTATAGTTTGTAACATTTTTATTTTCATTATACAACTATAAAGGCTACTTCTACAATTATAATTGTAATAATATGTAGTCAGTTGATCACATTATAAACATAGCTGAAATAATGCTGTATTTAGTTAACATAGGCCACTAAGTACTGCCCAGATTTTGAAAAGAAAAGGAAATAGAAGAGAGTTTATTACTATATAGATTTACTATATATGAAAGCTGAGAGTGTTTATTATTAGATTTTGCCTCTGCAACAATTTCTATAAATGTCATTCTAAAAGATTGCTTTTAAAAAGCTACTCTTCTTTTGCATTATATGTAGCATTTCTTACAATGTCTTGAAATTTAGCCAATGCTGTTTACGTTATTAGAGTCTGCAGAGGGAATTAAATTATGACAATACTGTTGTTCCCATAGCAGCAAATCTGTATAAATGAATGAATACGAAAAACATTTTTCATTAGATCTCTCTAAGCATGTCTCTCAAATCAAATTTCATGAAGTAAGTTTTGAAGGAGGTTAATTTCTAAATTCTAGACATAGAATTTGTGGACAATGTCTACAATGTGAAGCTTACAGACAATGACAGTGACAATTTGTTTTCAGTTGTTCCTTGTCCTCGTCCTTCCTTATTCCCCTTTTCTATCAGGTCAATGTGCATTATACACCCACACTTGATATATACGTACTTTCTATCCTTGCTGTGTGCTACCCCCATTTCAGTGAAGCGTCTGTTGCTCCTGCCTTACCAGTTTACCATGCACACTGAATGAATAAACATACGGGAAAGAGAGTCAAAATGAAGTGAAACCAAAGACTGGCTACCTACCACAGCAGCAAAGTTGTGCAGGAAAATGGGAAGAATATCATTCTTCTCCTATTAATATTAAGTGGAGGACTACAGTCCTTAGAAAGTGAGTTTCCTTAAAAGAAGTGATTTGTAGACTTTCAGCAGAGAAAAGGAGAGAATGGCATTGATTTTGGATGTTGAGATAGGCATTACATTTTGGGACAAATAGCCAGGGAAATTAAAGACTTCCTCGGGGAATAAAATGGCTAGAGGGAGGTTTGAGAGAATGAGATACTGGGCATCACATTTTATAGAAGAAAGCACCTCTTATAATCTATGTAATTGCATTGGGTTTTGAGGAAAGAAAGTAAAAGAAAGTAAAGTAGAAAAGAATTGTGACATCTAAGTGCAGGGGTGGAGGAACTATGGCCCTTTTATGACTTTTGGACTTCAGTTCCCAGAATTCATGAGCTAGCATGTCTGGCTCAGGAATTCTGGGAGTTGAAGTCCACAAGTCATAAAGACAAAAATGCCATTTTTGTCTCAAGATTTTTTTAAAACCTCCCCCTTTTTTTCTTTTAATTGACAAGACATAGTTACTCAGTGGTAATTTTAAAAATAAAATTGACCTGGGTATTTTCTTAAATATTTTGGGGAATATTTGTGTGAAAAATGAGTAACAAAGGTAGACCTTTTGTCTGGTTTGAGGAAGATTATGCTCTTAACATATGGCCTCTGCTTGAGTAATGTGACATAGAAGTAAGGTCAGATGGTTGTATAACAGATAATTAATTCAGATCTCACTGAATTTTTTTGCGTATGGGTGAACATGTTCAAATATATCCCATTAATATAAGAGTCTGAAATGTTCCTCTAGCGCAGAGATTCCCCCATCTTTTGGGCACCAGGGACTGGTTACGTGGAGAGAGTTTTTTCACGGACCAGAGTGGGCGTGGTTTTGTGTGCTGCCTGCATCCTGTGTAATGGGCTTTCCTTGTTTATGCGGACTGGTTGCTGGCATGCCATGGCCTGATACTGCTCCACGGACCAGGGGTTAGGGATCTCTGCTCTAGCTCACAAGTGTCAAGCTTGATTGCATCACGTGACATATCACGACATTTTTTGCCTTTGCGGAGCTGGGGAGGGCATGGCCTGCGCATGACATATCTGGCCTGCAGGCCGCCAGTTTGATACCCCTACCCTAGTTGGTCAGCAGCCTGAAAATTTACTTTATAGCCTTTCTAACTCAGGCCATCATCCCTGAATAGGTAAATGGACTGATAAAATTATACTGGTCTAAATTATAAATAATTTCTATTTTTCCCAATCCAAAAAAATATTGGAAAAAAATTATGTAAAGGGTTAGGATATTGTTTGTCCATCTGTCCATCAATGTGATAACTGGAAAATGAACAGAACAGTAACAAAGATGGTGAGAAAAGCTGGCAGAAGAAACACCGAGTTATGAAAATGGGCTGGATCTTGCTTAGGGCTGCAGAGAAGAACATCCTCCCCCCCCAAAAAAAATTCTCCAATGAATCCCTATAGGAGAAGGAGGCCAGAGAAGAGTTGTGACTTGTAATTATGATTGCCTTCACTGAGTTCCACCATAGCACAACAGCATCACTGAACTCAGGACTATGATTGCTTCCTGTGATGGAGGTTGTTCAGTTTCTAATGTCTAGAAATCCTGTCTTGAGGGTTGCAAAGTAATCAGAATCTTAGTACCTGCTCAACTTTGGAGCAAAATGCACAGCAAAGATGGATTTGATTCCCACCCTTTGGAACTTATGTCTTTTCTCCAGTTGTATGCCTTCCTGCAGTGTCATTTGTTGTAACCTAATAACCGCTAGTAAGTATTTTTGTTTATATTTGTGCCTTTTGTGCATGTCTTATTTCTGGATAACTTGACCCTGCTATAATGGGATTATAATTCCACATTGTTCCAAATGCTTTTTCAGTTGCATTTTAAAAAGATCCTTGAAAAAATGAATTATCTCCCCTCCCCCCCAGCCTTTTCAATGCACATTGATTATTTCTGTTCTTTCAGTTTTGTGGACATATACCTTATGTTTTACATCAAAAAAGGTATTTAGCTCAGTTTCTCTTGTTGTGCTTTTAAATAATTTCTCTGTGATATAGTTTATTTGATTATACACCTCTCTCTTTTTTCTCTCCTCTCAACTTTCTACTTTCATCTAAGCGCCCTCAGTTTCAAATCTCCATCTTCTGGAGGTATAATAGTTTTTGCATGCTGTGGAAATGCAGTGTGTATGCCACATAAGGGATTATTGTGCAAGAATAGTGAGATCTTCAGAGATGAGTACAACAATTATTTTTAAAATATGGCTTTCTTTGTGAAATATTATAACTCTAATTATATGGATAGCACATAAATGAGTGTAATATTTGGACTCCTATGCTATTAAAAATAAAAAAAATTCTGGAACAAACATGAATGTGAGAGGCATATAGAACTATGAGTTAATTCTAAAAACCAAGATAATTAACTTTTAGAACAGATACTTTATTTGAAAACATGGGATCGACTATTTTATGGGTATCTTGCTTATATATTGGTTCTTATTTTCCCATGAATCTTTAAATGAATCTTCTTAAAGTCAAAGTGGATCTGTGCATGCTTGTGAGAATCTTTGATAACATATGTCCTTTTTGGTTTCACAGTTTTTTGCAGAAAGCTTTTGTTCAGTCTTGCTTGGTTAAATGATTCTTCCAACTGTGTTTCTTCTCCAAACAAGTTCCAGTATTTTGTATGTCTCACTTTTTCAGCCTATTTTGGGTATTTTTTTTTTAAATTTAAAATAAATTCCAATCCCATAGCGTACAGTTGTTGTTGTTTTTTTATTTTCTTCTCACAGATACAAATTGTATACAAACCAGTGGATCTTAGCCATGTAACGTCCAAATGTGGATCTCTGGATAACATTCATCACAAACCAGGTGACTTTGATGTCTTTGTATTTTATTTTTAAAGTATCTTTGTAAGATATATTGTGTTATTTGTCCTTAGGTAAATGTTAGTTTTATTTTTATTTTGCTTTTAAAATACTGAGTTGAAAAAAATAAAGATAATTGCAAGGGATATAGATTATTTAGAGAACAGGGAATAATTACAATTGATAGATGAGGTCAGAGAAATTATTTCCTCCATATGTTTATCCCTGCTGTTGTTTAACTGAGTGTCTGCAAAACACTGGATGCTGTCATTTATAGAATTCTTGTCCATTTGTTAGTCCAGAACATCAGGAAAAAACTATGTTTAATTAAGTGTAAAATTAAATGAACAACAAATTCACCCAAGTGGTTTCTATAGGAATCACTCCAAATGTCTTCCTTTCAAGGGAAACATTTTGGGTGCGGTGTTGTCGAAACCTGGAAGTCCTTCCTTAATGTGCACCAAACTTCTCTACTGGAATTTAGAACACCATTTTTCAGACTTTTAGTAGGGAATGCAATCTGCTCTGGGAATAAACCTTGTCCAGTAATTCTCTGAGTCTTAGCGTAAGCCCTGCCTGCTTTTATTTCCTATTTATATAGGGGTCTAGAAAACAGGAAGCTAGAGAAAAGGGGCTGTGTAGAAACATTGGGGTTGATGAGTTTAGATTATTAAAAGTGCTGCATGTGAAGATCCTGCTTAGTAACATTTATTTTTAAAATTATTTCCCTAAAGCTGTAGCTGTTACTAAGACATGTTTCGTGATTTGAAACACAAATTCATTGCACACCAATTTGTTTTTCTTTTCTTTTTACCTTTCAGTAAAACACATTTCGTTATTTTGAATTTAGAATGCATATTGTAGCTAGGCTGCTGCTGCTGCTACTACTACTACTACTACTACTATTACGACTATAGTACTAAATGTAAATTTCAAGATCCAAAATTTCTTTGTAAATTGTGTGAGACTTGAATAGCTGAATTTGGATATTGGGCAGAACTCATATTCAGATACATAAGCAAATAAGCACAACACTTGCTTGAGGGAAAGAAACATGCACAAACATACACATAGAAAATTATTTCCTTCAGAAGTCATCATTACATGTTCCTTTTGATATCTGTTAATCCTGCTCATTTTCCTTTAGGTGGTGGAGTGGTAGAGATGAAATCTGAGAAACTGGATTTCAAAGATAAAGTGCAATCAAAAATTGGGTCATTAGATAACATCACCCATATTCCTGGAGGAGGAAATAAGAAGGTAAAAACATTTTTCTGTTGCTGTTCTTTAGATGTGTAGGTGATGGGGACAGGTTGCCCAGGAAGCTGTAGGGCAATAATTGTATTAAGCTTTGAGAAATAGTATATCAAATCTTTTAATGTTGGAATGGTGCTAATTTAAGTCTTAACACAATTCTTACTAGGTCCCAATTTTCATAACACAATATCTATAAATATCCCCCGTGCCAACAGAAGCATATTAAGACATTGACTAAACCAGCAGCTGTTCCTAATTGTAAAGAAGCAACTAAGAGCTAACTAGATGCTATATACAAGCTCACATAAACTTCTCAGGTTGATCTCCCTCAAAAACGGGTGGCCAAGAGAAAATGGGTAAGACACTCATAAACTTTCCCTTGTATGGAATGCCTTTGCTAAAGAAGGTATCCCTCTTTTCATATATCCTTGGTACATTTTCTAAAAAGCACCTTCAGATGTGTACAGAGATACATAAACAATAAGATTGCCACATTGAGAGCATTCCCAACAGGTTGTCAGATATGCAGGTAATCCCGAGTTACGAATGTTCACTTAACGCTCGAAGTTATGCGATAAGCACCCCCTGGTATTTACGAGGAAGTCCCAAAATTATGAATGTTGCAGTACAACGGCAGTCATTCGCCCTTACGAGTGACCGCAAAGACTCTGCAACATTCACGCTATTCCCCTCCCACTCACAACCTCTTCTCCCTCCCATCCTGCCCCACTGGACTCACCTTGCAAAGATCTGCCTCCTCTCTGCTGCGGTTTCTTTGCCTTTGAGGGAGAGGAGAGTTGTTGGAAGATCCTGGATGCTATAATATTGTGTGAGTTCAGGAACCCATCCTCCTTTGTGGAGAATGGATGCCTGAACTCTTGCGAGATCACGGACCCCAGAAACTTTAATTTTTGGCACAAAAGGTTTTTGCAGTGCCAGTCTCTTGCTCCCCCCCCCCCACAACTCCTTTCCACCACCACTGTAACACCACTGGACAGAGACCTTCAGGAGATTAGAAGCTCCGTCTGTGAGCAAATGGGGTGCTTGAAAACGGGGATTCACTTGCCTTTTCATTCACCCCATTTGCTCACAGTCAGAGCTTCAAGTCTCCGTTCGGAGGAAATGGGGCGCTTGAGAAACTTAGCACGCATTTGCTCACAGATGGAGCTTCCTGTCTCTGTCAGGTCTCCGGGTAAAAAGTGTTTGAGCGCCTATGGGGCATTTGAAAACGAAGTGAATCACTTCGTTTTCAAATGCCCCAGAGGTGTTCAAACACTTTTTGCTTGGGCGGAGACCTTGGGGAGACTGGAATCTCCATCTGCCTGCCAATGGGGTGCTTCTGCAGTGGCAGAAAGAAGTTAGGGAGGGAGCAGGAGACAGGCAAATACCGCAAGATTTCAGGCATCCATTCTCTGCAAAAGAGGATGAGTGCCTGAACTTGCATGATATTACGGCACCTAGGGGTTTCTATCGACTCTCCTCTCCCTCAAAGGCAGAAACTGCAGCAGAGAGGAGACAGATCTTTTCAAGGTAAGTGAGGAAGGGAGGGGGAAGCATGAGGTATCTTAGTGGGTCGATGAGGCCTTGGGGGCCTATTCCATCACTAGGCGCCCCCATGGCCTTCCCCACCCTGAGATACTCATATGCGGTTAACAAACCGTGCATTCACCCACACATTTGATTAGCGAATGCGTGGGTGAAAGCAGGGATTGATCTCGTTCAAGGTACAAGATTCACTTCCATGAATTCTTGAGTTACAAATGGAATGGGCAAGCTCCATTACATTTGTAACTCGAAGACTAACTGTACTTGTTCCTTTATAAGAGTGAGTATAGAAACAACAAATTTGGTGGAATGAAATTGAAGAGGATGTATAGTATTAATCAACTGTTGGTTTTTACTTTATGATCCTACCTTCTCACCTCTTTCTCGTACCACAGTCGTAGACTGTGTATTGATATTCTTTTAAATATTTCTCATGATATTTCTTGTTGTTGAACTGGTAGCAGGAAAATTTCTCTAGTTGTTTCACATTTGGAGTTAAAGAGATTATACCTATCTAGGAATGATCTTGAACAATAACTATATTCTCTTAGAGGAGAGAATGTGAGAGAAATGATCAGGAAATAACTAAATATTCAGTCCTACAAGATTTTGATGCAATTTGAATAATGATAAGGATTGATGACTTCCTGTTTTGAATATTATCCCTTTGATACATCTCTATATTCTCTAATCCTTACAAGGATTCTTCCATAGAACAAACATTTTTTACCTGCACAGAAGGTAAAAAGAGTTATTATAAGAGTGTGGATAAATCACACTGTCATGCTACTCTCCTCTTGACTTGGTTGGAAAAAAGTTTGACTGACCTTTTGCTGAACATCTGCTTTGTTAAAAGGCCTTGGAGCAGGCAAACTGAACTTATGTTTTTAATCAGTGACCTTATCCCACTGTCAAAGGATAGACAAGGCCAATCCTAGGACAAATATATTTATCACCAAGTTCCTAAACAAGTTTTTTTTCATTTTTTATACATTTCTGCCAGCTCTGATACTTGCCAGAATATTAAGAAAAGCCAAGTCATACCCTTGGAAATTATTCAGATTTTTCTACACTGGCTGTGGAAACTCTGCTTCTCCAGCTACAGTATTTTTTTAGATATGGCAATCTGACCATCTTCTTTTACACCAAGATCTAGTGCTAAAGTAGGATCATCAGAGAAATAAACATAACACAACCTTTTAAATACACCTGCATATGTCAAAAAAAAAATGTAACAGCAATTAATATTTCAGAGCAGAAGGGAGGAGAAATATTTTTTGGTCCCACTGGATAATGAAGTCTATAATGAACCTGAAGGTTTTGATGATTTAATACTGTTTTTAAATATGAAGATACCATATGGTACCATTGAAGATTATCTCAAATTTCACAAATCTCCTGGCTCTGTGTTTGAAAGATCCCACTCAAAAAAAAAAAAATCCCTTTTGGTCATTACTTGCTCAAATAATTGCTTCTATGTTGTTGAAAAGGTAATCTTCCACAGGGTGTAAATATTACCAGTTGCTGTCATCTTCACAGGGAAACAGATAGAATGATGAAATGCAGAGTCTTTTTGTAAGGACAGTTTTCAGAGAAGTTGAAGTCAATGGAATGTGCTTAGAAGTTAATTACATACTTGTTTTAATGGGACTTTCATCCTGGTTCAGGCTGGTAGATAACCTGGGCTGGATAGGGAGAAATTCAGTGGAATTGTTTGTCTCTGAGCACTCTTCAGCAATGCACTGCTTGATGAAACAGGGCAAAATGGAACGCTGTTAGTCAGTTATGGCTAGGGCTTTGTTTTGTTCTAGGTCATGCTGTTCCTAAAAAAACTGGAGCAGTTTCTTTCCAAATACTGGTTTGTCCAAGAATGTTTTGGATTTCAGCTGCAACCATTCCCCAAAAGTCTGTTTTTAAAGTTTTATTTAATCCAACATTACATTTCTGCAGTGTACTCTACCTAGGGCTGCTCTTCAAGAGTGGTACAAAAGGTAGTAATTTAGAGCCAATCAGGAACCAATATTGGAATATCTGTGCTGATTCCGAGTTGTCTTAAAGGTTTAAATTCCTTTAAGTTTGAGTTCGATTACATCTAGCTAGATTAAAGGTATGTTTTGTTAAGAACTTGCCAGTTTAATGTAGCCTACAAAAAGAGACTGTTTGAGGACACTTCTGCTCATAGGACACATTATCTTTTGGTATGCAAAAAAAAAGCCTTATCCTGCTTCATTCCCTAAACTGATAATTCTCAAGGAACTACAGAAGGTGACAAAGTGCATTATGGTAGTTTTATTGTAAACTCTTACAACTGCTCATAAGTTACATACTCAAACATTACCTTTACAGCAGAAATAATGATTCTGTTTGCAAATAAGAATTCATTTTGTTTAAATGATTGCTAAACTAACTGATGCCTTTGAGGAAATCTGTTTTGAAGGGTTTTGAAGTGAGTGAGCTGAAGGAAGGTTATCCCGAGGATCAGTGTTCTCCCAGCCAGTGAATGGGTAGGCACCTACAGAGGTGAAGTCACACAGGTTGAAGTTAGAGAAGTTGAATAACACTTAGTATTATACTAATGTAGCTAAATGTCTATGGAGATTCTCAGCCATTTAGTTCATAGTTGTCCCAAAGATGCTTTTTTAGAAAGCAATTGGATTTTGTTTTATCTTGAAGACTTCCAGAACTGAAGAAACATCTTGGATGAGAAACGAAATGTCTTCAAAGTAAAACAGTCCAGTTGCCTTTTAAAAAAGCACCTTGGGATATTATAATAACAAATAATTGTTCTTGCACTTTGAACATTGATTCAAAAAACAATTGGGTTTGAAAAGCCAAAAATGTGAAAATAATGAATTCAAAGTAGGTCACTTCAGTTGAGTCTGTTTATCAAACTTTGGGAACCGAAACAAGTCATGTGAATCTCCTTCACAGGGAAGGGTTATCAAGAAGAAAAATATTATTACATCAGAAACAGAGTGAGATGCTTACTCCCCATCTGAGCAAGAAGAATATTGTGAGTCACTAGCAGAGTTATCCTACTTAGAGGCTTTATTCAAAGTTGTGTAGCAAAGTTGAAAATGCCCTCTTCAAATAAAAACTTTGAGAGAAAAGGAATTGATTTGTGACAAGTAAAAGAAAGCAATATTGTGATGTTCCTAAATACTGTATATGCATTATTGCAACCAACAGTAATGAGATCATATCACTTACTGTCAAGCACAATGAAGTACTGGGAAAGAAAATTTCAAAAACGTTCAAACTCTGACTGGTTAAGGAACTCATCACTGAAGCAACGTCCACAAGATTTTCTGTGTTCATAAATATAAAAACTGCCATAGACCTTAAATTACAAGCAATTGAAAGAGAAATGAGAATGTCTAGTATTACATCTAATAACAAAGAGCCATATATAGATAAATCTCATCAAGCCCAAGTATCCCAGTAGATGGCAAAAGAGAAGTTAAATCTGGTAAGCTTCTGTTTGGTCGATTCATAGTAATTTAAAATTGGAAATACACTACCAGCAACCATATAATTATAATAATTAAGCAATTTTCAAGTCTATTGTTTTATTTGCAACTAGTCTATTGCTGGAACAAGTCTTCAGAAAATAATCACTTTCCTTAGATTTTATTCAGCGATTCAATTTGTGTCTTCAGACAACGGTGTAGTAGAAAGTGGAACATGTCAACAGAATGCAATGTATGATTTTTAAGAGTACCATTAGTTGGGGGGGGGGGGTAAGGTTAAGAAGCTTTGTTTTTATTGCAGTAGCAGTGTGGAAAGGAGACATTATAGCTCTGTAATCTGGTCTTTAAAATTATTACTGATGGATTTCAAACAAAAGTTATTTATTGTGTAATACTTGCTTTTTTATTGATTGTGCACATTTTAAAACTGTTACACAGTATTTTGGTGTTATTATAGAAAGTAGAGCAATAAAGAAATAAAGTAAGTAAATACAAAATTTTCTTTAGACCAGAATTATTCAGCCTCCTGAATCACCCCACTTCAGTCAATTTTTCCACTCGCTACCATAGGTATATCTTCAGCAACAGTTGCCGGTCGTAGTTATCTTTGTGCAATAAAAGATTTCATCTCTTAAGTTTTGTACCTGAGATTGAAATCACAAGCTATCTAAACCTAGTTATTTTTCTTGTAATTAATATCCAAGTTTAGATTGCTATATTCACATAGTTTCAGGGCTAGCAACAAAAATGTAGCATGGATTTGAAGCATCAGTCTGTGAGTGACCCATTAATGCGAGTTATTCTTTTGTTTGTATGTGCCTCATCTGTGTTCCTCTCTTGGGGAGGGAGGCTCCACTCACATGCATTTCAGTCCTTTCTACTCAGATGCATCTCATTTTAATAACTTTATAAAACTTTATGTTTTTCATTAGCTCTTTCCAATGAGTGTTCTGGCTTCTGATGGGAGGACTTTTCTGCTTCCTTATCCTTCTCTCACTGATATTGGCACAACTTTTGCACTTCCTCCTCTTCCTCCTCCTCCTCCTCCTCCTCCTCTCATTGTTTTTTCCTTCTGAACTTTCTGAATCACTGTTGGGATAATTTGGCAGATCAGTAGATGTGCTTGATTGTAGCCTTGGTCCCATATTTCGAGGACACATGAATAGCATATAAGGAAAATAGTTGCAGTTGGAGAAAGCGTTGCCAGTTCATCAAATGGCTGCCACAGTTTGTGAATCCAGTCACCAAATGCCAGTTGGCTAGAAACACTAGGTGTATATTATTACTGACCTTACAGACAGTCCTTGTTTACCAACCACTCGTTCAGTAACCATTCAAACTTAAGATGGCGCTGAACAAGTGATAGTTAGAGATCCTTGCTTAACGATTACACACAATTTGCTTAACAATGCCAAAACTGCTGTTGCTAAACAGTATGGTCATGTGGTGTTTTTTTTTTTTAACTTATGATTTTAATTTAATGATGGAGTTTCTGCTTCGAATTACTGGTGTTTAGAAGGGATTATCAGTACCATTTAGCACCTCAGTTTTATCTTTTTTTCTGGACAAATGAGAAAGGTTTGTTGTAGAGACACAACAATTCTAATATAATATAATATATTTCATCCCACCTCAAGATTTCTTTTTAAGGGAAATAGGGACTTTGAAATGTGTCCATTGTTACATGCAGCATCTCCTTTTATGCCTATTGAACACTAACAGATTGAAAACAAATTACAAATCCATGTGAGTGTACTCTTCATATACTTTATCTTGTTAAGGGCAGTGGTTCTCAACCTTTTCTTCATCATGGACCTCCTTTAAATATCTTTTGTGACCATGGCCTCAAATCTCCAGAACCTAACTCAAGATTTAAATCATAATATTTCTTCATGCCTTCACGAACTCTACCACTGGCATAGGAGATAAACTGTAGAAAGAGTTAAAAATATAGTAGACCCATTAAAAGAGATTAGACTTTATTATTAGCCACCATGATATCTGAATTAGGGATAATTGAAACTGGGTCTGAAACTATCTGTTTTTCAAGTATTGCAGTCCATTTAACAGAAGAAAATCTGGTGAGGAGGGACTGAGGCCTCCAGTTTTGGCTATAGATCTTTCCTTCATTGCTTGCTTCAAAACATACTGCTCAGTTTTTGAATATATGATAAGTGAATCATCCTTTCTATAGGCTAGGCTGCAAAAATGGCTTGATCTTGTTAAGTTACTGCAGGTTAATAGTACTTTAAGGATTATCAGTAACAGCCATCCTTTGTAGGATTCGGAGCCAACGTTATGTGATTCTTCTTCTTTAGCTCTTACATTCTCCATCTTCAGTTACTGTGTCTTCTTTTTCATACTTCCTGCTACTTTCTCTTCCTTCAGTTCCATGTGTCCCTTCCTCCCCATTGAAAAGTTTTGGTTTCATTGTCAATCTTATTTGATGATGCTATTTTGCATCCCACTGACCTTCTCCACCCACATGCAGAGAGAGAAGGGCAAGGAAGACAAGAACCGTGTACAAAACTGCCCCAATAAGGCTGGGCTTCCTTCCCCCATCACGGAGCCCTCCATCCCTGAGGAGAGCCCACTCCCCGACTTGCACCCATGTGATGCCAGTAAGTAGTTACCTGTTGTCATAAGCTTTGGGAGAGCAAGAATGGAATTAGATGCCCAAAGGTGGCTGGGTGGCTGGAATAATTTCATTCCTATTCTTTGTTTTTCCAGTTGGAAAAAAGTTGTCAGTGTTAAATGAGTGTTGAGCAATGTTGATGTTAGGCTGCCCAATGTGATAAAAAATAGGGATTCTGCACCTCTTAATGTTGGGTTGGATGACTGAACAGGTGTGTGCAATTGGGGTGGCAGGGGCAGATTGTCCTTTTGAAGAAGGCAGGTTGTGCTTGTGGAAAGAGATTTTGCCTAAATTTTTAGGGCTTCCCCCTCAATTTCTCTTGTGCTACAATCAATCCTACTCACCACCACCCCTCACATCCATCTGCAAAGTATTTTAAGGAGGCTTTGTATATCTAACTTTTGAGTCCAGACTATCATACAGAATTCAGATGAGTATATTGCTTGTGAGATATTCGCTTGGGTCTGGAAAGTTGTTTTTGTAAAAAGGTACTATTTTTTCACCCATCTTAATATGGGTAATTTGTAGTATGAACTTTATATAATAGTAATATGTCAGGATATACTGGTCGATATCTATAGATAACCAAAGCCTTCTGATTGGCAAGGATCCCAGAGTTTCCTGTTAGGATCACATATTAAAATATGAGAATATTTGCACAGGGTGAACCATTTTGTCTCTACGAAATATGACTGCGGTGGGGAAGGTTTTAATTCTCTGCTTCATTCTGTTCTCACCCTTCCACCTTGTCTCATTTCAGATTGAGAGTCACAAATTGACCTTTCGTGAGAACGCCAAAGCCAAGACTGATCATGGAGCTGAAATTGTCTACAAATCACCCACTGTTTCTGGAGATGCTTCTCCACGCCGCCTTAGCAATGTCTCTTCTACTGGAAGCATCAACATGGTGGACTCCCCTCAACTGGCCACATTGGCCGATGAAGTTTCTGCTTCCCTGGCCAAGCAAGGCTTGTGATTGTATTGTAGTGTTGGAGATAATAACAGAAAAATTAACTCTGGCCTTTTTTTTTTGTTCACCCCCCCATCCCATCTTCATCCCCCATCATTTCTATTTATTTTAAGTTAATAACTCTTTTATCTGTTCCCTCTCCTTCCTCCAGTTAAACAGTCATCTGTGGTCTCAGGATTTCATAATTGTTAACTTGGAAGCAAAGATTTCCATCCTGTGTGGACTAAGCTGTTTAAAAAGTCTCCCTTCACCTCATCCCAAACAAAAAGAAACGTAATTGAACAGAGATAAACTTGTGATGTTTGAAATCTCAAACGTGGGGATGTAACATGGTATCTTCTGCTGTACATGCTCATTTTGGCCAAGTTTTTTCCATTGAAATTTAAAGCATAGAAGCATAGAAGCCTTAAACAATCATGGCTGCTGATTTAGTATCGAAGTTACTGCAGGTCCATAGATTTCCAGTGTACAAGCTGACCTTCAAACTTCTCTCCTGCTAGAGCTGGAATGCTAGGCTTTAATATTTGAAGTATATTTCTTTCTTTGAAGGAGAAATTTTTATATAGGAAAGAGAGCTTTTGAAAGGACTGTTACATTACATATGTATCCATTCTTTTTTGGTACTGAGAATTTTTGTGAACCAGGTTTAAAAGTTCAACATATAACTAAACTGCATGCTTTGGATAATTAAGACATAAGCCAAAACTGCCTTGAAAGCCTGCAGAATGCCAGTTCTCTTTATTTTAATTGAAATGATGTATTTTAAAGGCAATAGCTTATCCATTTTTTGACTGTACCTAAAATTAACCTTTGACTTTAGATTGTAGTCATACCTATTGAAATAATTGGACTTGATTTTTTATATGCTAGGTTTTTAATTTTAATGGATCGGTTATATTCTTTTTTCTCTTTTTTCAAATAGTAACTATTGCCTCTCTTCCACCCACTTCACCTTCAAGCTCCATGATTTTGTCACACCATAAAAACTTGTCCAGAGTTGCTAGGGAAGAAGCAGATTTGACTTTGTGTTCAGCCCAATTGGCCTGGTTGCTCTAATGTTTTTTGTAAATGTAGAAATTTGTGAGATAGAGGTATGGCTCTAGGCATATTTAAAAATAAAGGAATTGATGTACTTATTTATGGTGCATGCAGGTGTTTTTTAGGAAGGACAATTGCGTGGAAGGACATCAGTTGAGCAGATGTGGGAATATATATATCTTGACCTATATCTCATACATCTTTAGAGAACATGTTTATGTAATATTTGTGTATTTGAAAGAAGCATCACACATCAAAAATCATAGCCAGAAGAACACTTTCAATAGTTACTATTCAGTTACTAGTACATTATTCAAGGGACTCTTTAGCACCTCAGATATTGCAGAATTACAATGTGCACTCAACTATATAAATCTAACCATCAAGCTGTTAGGGATGCTAGGAGTTGTAATTCAGCAAGAGCAGAATAGTTGTAATAAGAACTAGCTGTGAGGGATGTATGTCTGTTAAGCTCACTTACTGTAATGCAGCAAGCACTGCCTCTAAAAAGGACATTTGATTTCTGGAGATCTGTGGACTTTAATTGATCCACTGTGAAGAAACATAATTTTCATAAGGCAAGTTCCATGAAACCATTGATTTAACAAGCTTTTGTGCTGTTGGGAGAAATTTTTCTGTGCTAAGGGGATATATTTGATGTTCCACAAAAATATTGCTGGATTACAACTCCCGTCTTCTTGCATTACCTGTCATGGTGACTATGAGTAAATTTAGAGTCCAACAATATTTAGAAGCTGCTGATTTGCTCCAGTAAGGGTACTGTAAGTGAAAAGGCTCTTTTCCTTTGCTCTCCATTTTTTAATTTTAAAACAAGATATACTCCTTCAACCATCTATGTTATGTGAAATATATCTGCGAAGGGCAACAAAATTAGACTAAGTAGAAATTGTGAATAACTGGTTTGTCCTTTTCTACCAGATGTAGCCATAGATGCTTGAATTTGCCGAGACATTTTTTTAAGATGATTTGAATGAAACTTAAAAAGAACATAAAAATACGGAGTTTTATAGGGTGAGTAGAACAAGAAAAAGTATTGGATCAATTACAGTGGAGTGCTTTAAGAGCACGTAAGAACATCTAGTTGGTTTTACAGATATGTCATTCTTTCCACAATAACTGAAGCTTGCAGTGTGTACAATCATTATGGGGTTCATTGCTATTGAATTGTTTTCTTGGCTGCTTTTCTACACTCAGAGCAATGGTAGGAAATTTACTTGGTGATCATCACTTTCCAACCTGAGTTCATGGCATCCCTTTAGACTGTAATGAAAACCTCTGCTTTGTATCCTTTCTAGGATGAGCCAAATCATAAAGAGATTGGTTTTTATCTGCATGCTGTAGTTTTATGCATGTGACCAAAGGTGATCATGCTAACTCAAAAATCTGGTCTGCATGTGTTTGACAGCAAAAATTGACAATGATCAAAGCTGAAAGGTGCTAGGCTTTTAAGAAAACTGGTTTGCTCTGGAAGCAATCTATTTTTTAACATATTGATCTAATTTCAAGTCTGTAATTCTGAAATTACCAAAATCAGGACACCTTAGTAGGCAACAGATTGAGCATCCATGGTAACAAAGAAATTTCGTTTTCCAAGCCAATTAAAAGAAGGCCAGGGCGGCTGTTATCATTTACGTTATGATCCTTAATACCTGTCATATTCTGGGGAGGGAGAAGGGGTAGAGGAGCAGCACCTGGCTGAACAAATCACACAAGTTGATAATTTTTGGGTCAGCAGCATTGCTCTTTAGATTTGCTGTAAAACATGTTTATTGGTGGTACCACCATCCCTTTTTCAGTACTAAGATAAAGGTCAAGGGGAAATCACTTGCCCGATCAGTTCAATTGAGGGCTGCAGTTTGCTCTTTTTTATATGCTAATCAATCATCTGGACCATGTGAAGAAAGTTTTGACAAGCAGAACTTGGGGATCTGAAGGGGAGAGTGGTTGGACAGAATTATGGATAGCTTCTAGAGCCAAGGAGGTATTTTACTCCAAGATAGCGCTCAAATAGAAGAGATTTTGCAGAGGATTCATCTGTACATCAACAATCACTTTCCGATCATTTATAAGCCTGTTGTTACCTCTGTAGTTAAGTTAGGATGGTAAATTTCTTTCTTAAATCTAAAAATAATCAAATAGAAAAATCCTCTCACTGAGAAGCTTTTACACTATGCCAGTGTTTCTCAATCTTGACAATTTTAAGGCATGTGGACTTCAACTCCCAGAATTCCACAGCCAGCATTGCTGGCTGTGGAATTCTGGGAGTTGAAGTCCACATACCTTAAAATTGTCGAAGTTGAGAAACACTGCACTATGCTATTGATTTCTTTTTGCTTGCATTTGATGTCTTTGGGCTGGAAAATCTTACAATATCTTACAACAGGCAGCAACTGTAGTAGCATAAGCCTAAAAAAACACCCCATTTGATAACCCTCTTTCTTCAGCATTGAACAGTGAAGAGCAAATGCTCTATTTCTAGAAAGAGTATTGGTCCTCAAGTCCTTTTTCAGAAAATTATGCCTTGCCTCCATTCACATTTTTACTAGTGCTTAAATTCTCTTTCCAAAACATTACGCACATATTTAAGTGTTCTGAATTCTTTCGCCTACCCTGTTTTAGCCATTTTTTTTAATCATAGGTCCCATTTCCCAACTGTATTTTGATTGTCTTTGTGTCCTTCTAGGATTCACAGACGTTTTCCCCCAGATGGCGAAGACCCATGGTGGTTCCAGATCGAAGCCATCTTAAACTGGCTTATTTCTTGTCTTGGTATATAAATATACATATCTAGGGCTTAAAAGTGTTAAAACATGACGTATTGGTTTTGAAGTTCATAAAATGGGGCTTTATTAAATAAATTTGCAAGTATAAAAACGGGACAATGGAGTTTGGAAAACACCATCATTCCCTTTTAAAAGTTTTTTTCAGAGATGGGGAAACTGGGAGGGGGTGGGAGGGGCATGAGATCTCCGTATGGTCATCCTAGCTTAGCTACCTGTCTGTAACTGTCCATGTTGTATTTGTGTGTTTTAACAATTGGTTCACACTGACTGTTGCTGTAAAAGTGAATTTGGAAATAAAAAGTCATTACTACAATATTAAATGTATTGTCTTTGTTGAAGAAAACTTTCCAGACAGAAGCAGGGGCAAACGTCTTCCAAACTGTCATTGAGAAAAGCTCCCAGACTCAATGTTTTATGATCAGAATTAAACTCGACTCAAAAAACAACTTTCCTTTTGTTGAAAGGGTGGGATGGTGCTCATGCTGAGCTGATTAAGACTACTGTGATTGTCTTTCCACCTTCCATCTCTTACACCATTAACCTGCCCATTCCATAAATGGTATTCACTTTCATTCAGCTGCTTTACCTACCATTAAAAGTAAAATTCTCAAAATCCTGGCTAAATCACTTCTGAAAAAGGCACTATTTCTTTGAAATACTATCAATATTTCTTAAAATTTGTTTGAAGATTTTAGAATCTTTTTACAAAAGATTTTACAAAATGGAAACCACTGTGCTCTCTGTTGAAATAGTTTCCATAATTCTCTAAATGTCTCAGAATGTATTCTTCCCATATTATTCCCCAATAAATTATAGCACTTTCCTTAACTTTTAAATTTTTTTAATTTTTTTTTATAAGCACACATTGGTGCTTTGGCCAACAGAATCAAGACATTAAACAAAGATCAGCTTCTCTGAAGAAAAGCATTTCTATATAACAAGGACATTACACAGCTTGAAGCAGGAAAAGAAATATTTACAAAATACAAGGTGGGTTTTATTTTTATTTTTTGTAGTTTTTTTCCTTTTAACGCTAAGATGGTTATTCAGAATTCTCAACTTTATAAATAGAAAAGCACTTAATGCAGAGGGATATAGTAGCATTGGGTTTTTCCTTTTTTGTAAAAAAAAACAAAAAAAAAAAAAAACAACAGAACAGAACCAAAAACTTTAGGTAATGTTGAAAATTGTGAAAAAACCCCAACCATTAAGCAGTTTAGCTACTATTTTGTTACGATTACAAAATGAGAAAAAAAGTTTTTTTCCCCTTTTTTTGGGTGATGTGATTAATACAGAAGACAGGCGCAATGCTTAACAACAGGACAGGGACCAACAGCCACACCGCTAAGGTTAGGAAAACATTACAATGGATTGGTGTGCAAAATATGGGAGTGACCAGAGATGTGAACTGAAGACAGTGGCCTCTTTAAATTAAAATAAATTCAGATCTGTTCAACTTGGTAAAAATCAGTCCAAGCCATTTTTAGGGGGAAAAAAAAAGACGAGATTTATTTCTCTCTCAAAACTGCTCTTTAAATTAAAAAAAAAAAAATCAGATCTGTTCAGCTTGGCAAGATTCAGCCAAGGGAAAAATTAAAACGTGACTGAGATTCACTTCTCTCTCAAAATCACCTCTTTAAATTAAAAAAAACCAACAAACAAAAAAACAGATCTGTTCAGTTTGGCAAAAGTCAGTCCAAGCCATTTTCAGGAAAACTTGAAATTCAGTTCTCTCTCAAAACTGCTTTTTAAATTATTTAAAAAAAAAACAAACTTCAGATTTGTTCAGCTTGGCAAGACTCAGCCCAAGCCATTGGGGGGGGGGGGGGAACTGGGGACGACATGACTAAGATTCATTTCTTCCTCAAAACTTGTAAGCTTCAGTCAAGTTAAGAGGTAGAGGTGAAAAACAATATCCAATCTTTCTCTGGAAAAAACAAATATTTTGGTACTCAGACATGTTCAAAATCTCAAGCAATGCATAGACTACTACTTTTAACAAAGAGTGCAAGAAAAGGGAACAACGAGATTATATCGCACTCATTCTATGGCTTGTGGATCTGGGGTGGCAAATTGTTGAATCCTGTGACATCGCTCCCAATACTTAAGGCTCAACACTACTGTATTGCAATCTATTAGCTGCAGATGTATAACCTACAGCTTTCAAACTAATGGACAGAATGCAAAATTAAAAGAAAACACAAAGTGTTAGTAATTAACAGGAAAAGGGAAGAAAGTAATCCTAGATCACATTCAGCAAAAAAAAAAAAAAAAAAAAGCATAAAAAAGGTTCTTCTTGAAATGAATGGTTGTCAGCCTTATCCCCACTAATAATCTGCCATTAAAAAACAAAACACAATATGAATAAAACATCCAAAACATATCTAGGCTGATAATGGAAAAATGCTTTTTCTCGCACAACTGAACTTATTTAACATGGAGAGACAGTCTCAGAAGGAGCAGAAAACCCCAGAACATATCAAGGTTGCTGGAGAAGAGCTTCTTGTTGATAGTTGGTACAATGGGTAGCTATCCTTAAGGAACCAAGTGATCTTGAGTTTGCATTGCAAGTGCTTTCTAGTGCCAGTGGATGGGGGAAGGGGGGAGGGAAGTTCTCGTTCAGTTAACATCACTTGTTATCACTAATTTCACTTCACTAAACTTTTAAGGGTGAGGGAGGGCACCATGATGTTGGCAGGTGAGGAAAACAGACATTAAACAGTAAAAGAAAGAAAACAAATGAAAAGTATCCTTTCACCAGTGAACTAATTTTCCAGGGTCAACCAGCCTGCTTCACTCCCTTTTTTGAGGAGTGTATACTGTGATCAGGGAGGGAGTGGCAGGTTTGCTCTCCTCATCCACAACACTGGATAAGGTGTGTTTGAGACAAAGAAACATGGAAAGAAAGGGGGGGGGGAGAAGGAAGGAAAGAAAGAAAACAGTTTCTAAATTCCTTAAATTCACTAAAAACTGTGAAAATTCCCGGCAGAATGTTTGAATATCAAACGCAGATTTCAGAAACTTTTAATGCCAAAAGTTAATTTGGTGGATTTTTTTTCCTTTTTGCTCCATTTTTCTGTCCCTCTTTTATCTGTGGGCCGGCCGCTGAACTGTGGCTGTGGCCCCCGAATTCCGGCTCTTGCTGCAAGCAAGGGAAGGTGAGATGGAGGCTGTGTCTGGTTCTCGGGAGGGCTTGCTGCCAGATGTGCGCCGCGTGCAACGTGATGACCGGTCCTGTGGATCTGTCTGTTCCTCACACTCCATCTTGGCATTGTAAGACAGTGGGAAAGTGCGGCGTTCCCAGGGGTGTATAGTCTGGGAAGAAAAAGCAGAACAGTTGGTAGCTTCATTGCCTCTGTCCCATTGCATCTTATCTGGAAGCCCTTGGAATGAAAGACATTGAGCAGCTACAGCAATGAAGCATACTGCTGCGAGTGTTAACACTCAAGACTAATGGATACAAGACCCAATCTAGAAACCAGAAATATCCTTTCTGAATAGAACTGCAACTAAAAGCAATTTTCAGTCTGTATGCAGCTGGTATCCCCTAAATCTGGGGGCAGGGAGAAGCACAGAAATAACTAAACCAAGAATGCTTTCAATCTTTATAGGTAAATAAAAAGTCAAATTAACAGAGGCGATCCTCACAAGGCCAACAAAGTCACGGATTGTTTCATTAAATGCCAGAAGGGATTCATTCACTCACTTGCTCATCAAGGCCAGAGTCCGGTGTGGAACAACGCGTGTCTTCTGTTGATAGATGCCGCATGGATTCTCGGGACAAAGGGGTATGAGGTCCAGAGAACAGGTCGGGACTGATGGGGCTGCGTGGAGAGTGTAGATAGGAGAAATCAGAATGCAGACAGCAGTTGCCAACATCAGGTGAGGCTGGCTGTGGGGTAGATGGATTCCCCAACTGTGGGGTTGTCCACCCATCTGTAGACCTGTATGACCTGAAATTAAAATAAAAATACCAATATATAAGGATGACAATTATTAATTGGTACAATTTTTTCTTCACCTATTACATTCTTGCATCTTAATCTAGACAAGTCATAAGTGAAGTGTAGAAATAGTAAATGAAATCAGGAAAGTAAATAGTTACTTGCCAATGAAAAGTCCTCTATTCTAAAGAATCCTGGCATAATCCTTATCATTTCCCTCCTCTCTTGGATACATCTCTGCCCATGATGGTCATTCTCTTTTCACACAAGGTCCCCTTCTTTCTGAAAAGGCGTATCTCTCTCTTATGTCTTCCCCACTTTCTGAATCTGTCCTTCTTCCAAAAGCTTTTGACACGAACCCTTTTACTATTTCAAGAACTCAATTGCAGCGGTGCTTTTAAAGTTTATGAACCCTTTTGAACGTTCAGTGTTTGTATAAATATGACCTAGAACCTGACCTGTTCTCCGCACATTCTAAAACTAAAGGGAACCCAATTAAATGAATCAAAAAGATTTTATTTATGAAAATGATCCAAAACTTCATATTTAAGTTTGTATGTGCAAGTATGAAAAGTTTTGCTTTCAATAATTGGTGTGCCTCCCGTGGGCAGTAGTCACTTCAACTAAATGTTTCCATTAACTACTGATCAGTCTGCAATCAGCCTGGAGAAATTTTAGCCCATTTCTCCTTATAGAATAGCTTCAACCAAGGATGTTGGTGGGCTTCCTCACATGAATTGTCTGCTTCAAGTCCTTCAACAACATTTCTATAGGATCAAGATCAGGGGTCAGACTTGGCAATTCCAAAACATTAAGTTTCTTCTGTTCTAGCCATTCTTCGGTCATGCAACATGTTCTGAGTCATCACCCTCATGCTCATGAAGCAGTTGAGATTTAGTGCACAGATGATAGCCTGGCGTTTTTCTATAAAATTTGCTGATTTAATTCAGAACAGTTCCTTCAACAATGACAAGCTGTCCTGATCCAGAAAGAGCAAAGCAAGCCCAAACCATGATCTGCCATGTTTCAAAGATGGGAAAGATTCTCATACTGGAAGGCAGGATTTGCCTTTTACTAAACACTTTTTATTCCAGTCAAAAGAAATGTAATTTTCGTTTCATCTGTCCACAGAACATTCTTCTAACAGCCTTCAGGCTCATCCAGACGGTATTTCGTGAACTATATATGAGCATCTTTTTTTGGGGGGGGGGGGAAGAGTACTGGCTTTCTCTTTACAACTCTGCCATGCACACCATTGTTATTTGGTGTTCTCCTGAGGATGGTCTCACAAATACTGACATTCACCTATGAAAGATTGGCCCTTAATTTCTTAGACACTACCCTGGGGTTGGTTTGCTCTCATTGTGGTCTTGGTTGGCCAATCAATCTGGGGAAGCTAACAATAATACGCAAATGGAAGCAATTCAACACCATCTGCTTGACATTGGACTGGTAAAGTCCAAGCTCTTTGAAAATAGTATGAAAACCTCTTCTAGTCTAGTGAGCATCAAAATCTGTTTTCCAGAGGTCCTCAGAAATCTTTGTTTGAACCATAACACAGTCATGAACCTATTGAGAAGATCAGACTTTGATAGTGAATACCGTAATTGCCCTCCTTAAATAAAATAGGATCTCTCACACTCAGATCTAATTGTCACCACACTGATTGAAATGAAAAGAAAAGGTAAAATAATCCTTGTGGATTTTACTCTGCTAGTTGTTGCCAACGGGGGAGGGGCGCTCATCTCCGAGTCAGCATTGCCAGAAGACATTTCTGTGATCATGTGGCCAGCATTAAGTAACAGAACACTGTTAACCTATTTATCTACTCGCATTTGCCTGCTTTCAAACTGCTAGGTTGGCAGGAGCTGGGGTGTGGATGGGGGGGTTGCCTTGTCACCCTGGCGCTTGAGTGTCGAACCAGGGCTGCAGCTTTTTCAGCCAACAAGCTAGTGTCTTAACTGCTGAGCCATCGCACTGTTCCTCATTTATTGAAATACAACTCCCAATTTCTCCTTTAAACAAACTGATAATTCTAGAGATTCACATATTTCTGCCAAATACAAATATGTGGTTTTAGATTATTCCACCTATACTGTTTTTCATTCATTTGTTTCATTGGGTTCTCTTTATCTAATTTTAGGATTTGTATGGAAAATACATCTTTTTTTAGATCATTTCTATGCAGAAATATTGAAAATTCAAAAGGAACAAACTGTTAAGCACCTTCATACATGAAACAATAGTAGCTGAGACATCTTTTCTCTATCCCAACTTCATTTTTTCCCTACTGTTTCTACTTCTCTGAAGTTCAGGCTCTAAATTTCTTGGAACAGGGATCTATCCTATTATACTTTGTAGCAGATGTGATTCCCAAATCTTATTAAGACTGTAAAGCTTCTGAACTCTTTCTGGAAAATAATACCCGGTATCAGTAGCACTCATACAAATGCAGATCAACTTTATTTATGAAGGAGGAATTCTCATCAGTGCAAAAGACTTTAGCACCAGGAAATGCTTGTCTGCAACTTCCCATTATTCATACCCAAATGAGCTTTGGATCAGTTTAGAACTCAACAGAGATATGATATTTACTGCAATGCTGCTGAAAAGTTAACAATAGGTGCTTACAGCTGAAGCTTTTAGTTTAATAAGCACTCTGCTTCTGAAGCAGCAGCCAGTCTTACCTGCTACCTCGCCGTTGTGGTGGTAAACTTGTGCTCCACAGCCACCTGGCTCGCTCCATTTCCTCACACTTAGCATGGAGAGTGGCAAAGGCTGCATCGGACATATCCTCTATCTAAAAAAGCCATGAGAGAAGATTAGGATCGGAATAGGGCTGAAGTTTGCCAACTTGTCCTACTGGCTCATTCCATAAAGAGGCCAGACAGCTCTCCAAGAACAGTAGTTATTTTTTCATCTCAGCCCTGCCTTATTCACTTCCTAATATAGTTAACTGTAAGATTCTGAATTATCCAGTTATCCACAACTACATTTAAGATATACTTGAAAGGCATCATTTATCTAGCCTTTATTTTGTTTTTGAGAAATTAATGAAGTACAGGGCAAAAAGACTCCTTTGGGAGTGGGTGATATGTACTTTTGTTCAGCACCATCATAATTTTGAACAGTTGCTGAACAAACGGTCATTAGGTCAAAGATTCTCTATATTATACAGATGAATTTGCAATCCTGCTTTTCCTGGTAAAGATAGGTTACAACTACAAAACATTTTTTTCAGGGCTGGGTAATCCTTTAGATTCAACTTAATGGGAATGTTTTGCAGCATGCAAAGACGTGTCTGCAACTTCCTGCAAGCAACTTTGTGATCACAGAAAATGACAATGCTATTTTAAAAAGCTGGAAACGGGAGCCACTTTTGTGCTCCCATATACTCTGGGGCATGTTTTTGGAATTTGGAAGTCTTTAAAGGAAGTGTTTCAGTGTATATCCCTTACAAATAACTATATCGAGTTTCTTCTACAAATATACTCTTTTGAGGTAGGATGGGATAACTAAATTCAGATTTTAGACTTCAATTCTCTAATAGCAGACGAGAATGTTGAAAACTCAATCTGGCTAAAATTAAACACCTAAGAGAATTCAAGGAGAAAGTATTTTATACATTTCTGGCTCAAATATATTTCCATGCAATAGAATAGTCTTCACCAATGTGGCACTATTAATCTATATGGACTTTTAACCCCCACAGATCTCAGTGATAGCCAATATGGCTGAGAATCAGTATAATTTCCTGAGGAAAATTCAGTTTCTTAAGATGTGGATAAAATTGAGCATCTGATGGCATATTAATCTGAACTGTCAAGAAAAATGGCAAAATCCAATGCACGGACAAGTTTGTCATCGTTATCGTTGTCCTCCTATTATCATACCATCAATTAATCACCTTTTTCTAGGAAAAAACTATTATTTTAAGAGTGGCTACTTCAGTTGTAGTCTGAATTCCAATTCTGTTTTTCTTCCGTTCAATCTTGTCTGATTTTTGGAGACTGCCCGGACAAGTCCTTGCAAGGTTTTTGAAAAGTGCTTTGTCACTGCCTCCTTCCTAGGGCTGAGAGAAAATGACTGGCTCAAAATCACCTAGCTGGATCCATACGTAAGACAGGACTAGAACCCAGAGTCTTCTGGTTTCTAGCCTGATACCTTAACTCGGGGGTCCCCAACCTCCGTGAAGCTCCACTCACTTGAGTGAGGGGCAAGCACATGAAAGTGCAAAGTTCCACTCCTGCAAGCAGGGGGCTCCACTGCTTGTGCAAGTGGTGGGCCCTTGCACTAGAAAACGTCACTTGCATTGAGTGGAAGGTAAGAGTAGGGGACATGCATGCAACACCCAGACCAATGCAGCTGTGTGTGCCTGCCACTTGCAAGCCCCTCCCCCACACTGGGCTGCCAAGCTGAAAAGGATGGGGACTGCTGCCTTACACCAAACTAGTTCTCCAAATTCCAATTCTCTTTTAAGTCAGGGGTAGGTAATTAATCTTCTCAAGGGGCCATATGAAAAATGAACTGTTGTGGAGGTCCGAACCAATGTAACCTGATTTGATGTCCTCAAAATTCATCATCTCAATCCTCAGGCTGCTGCAGGTGAGGGGTGAGTATTGCACAGAAGTAGAAAACAGTCTCCCCTCATCCTCCTGAAGCCAACAGCTGACTGAAGGAGCACACAGCAACTGTGTAGAGCTGGACCCAACTTGGCTTCTTCTTCTGTCCTCTGCAGCATGCTTATCTACATTTGATTTCTAATTTCCAATTGCCTCACATGGCCCACACGGAGGGCAGCCGAAGAACTGATGTAGCCCGGAAGCCATAAAATGTCTACATCTTCTCTAAGAAATATTGGACCAGGACTCAACAGAGAAGACCCATTAAAATTATGTAATAGTGCAAAAAACAAAACAAAACAAAACAAAAAAAACCTGAATCAGCTTCCTGATATCAAGGCATATTACAAACTCTTCTGTGAGAACAGAACCTTCACATGAAAATGCTCTGATTACTTTCATGCCATCTTGATCTAGAGCAGAACTTTCCACAAAAGAGCAGATCACAAACAAACTCTTAAGAATAGTCTTCCTCATATGATTTCAATTTGCTGGAACATGGAGGGTCTTTGTTCTCTAATATAGTAAGCAGGAATCTCCAACGGGCAATGCTAACCTAGCCTTAAATGTACTAAGGTTCCAAAACTTGGGTCTGTCAATCTTCCTCATTTAGCCACTTAGATACAGCTCAGTAGCAGGCTGAAAAATCCTTTTCCAGGGGTAACTGATGCAGGAATTTCGTAAGTTTGCTCATTAATCGGAGTAGAAAAATTGCCTGTGACGAGGGGGTGGGCAAGGAAAAAGAAAACAGATCTCTTCACTGCTTAGGACAAGTAAGGAATCATTGATATATAGTGATCTCAACTTATCTGGGTTTGTATAAACAAAGCTAATGGCTTCTAGTGTCTCTGACCCATCAGCCTGGAGAATACAAAAATGCTGCTCGGCTCTACTCTAAATGAAAAAGATTTCCCCTTCCAAGTGTGAGGCTGCCTCCCACCTTGAGATAGTTACTGAGAGCTAGTTAGGTGTTGCCTAGGAACTTACTAAAACCTATAAAACAGGATGTAGCAAAGAATGAGATTTTCATTTAAAAGCATGGTGAGATGTAACATTAATTAGACAGCTCTTTTATTCTTGTTAATGCATAACAAGTAACAGCTTGTTGCCTTTTCCTTTGAAAGTTACTCCTCTCTCTCAACTCTGGCCTTAGTGGAGAGACAGCTAACATGAGCAAACACAGAATTATGCTGATGCCACAATCCTGCTTTTGCAACTTATAGTATGCCTGGCTGCATGCCTCAGCCCACACAATTCTCTTCTGGTAGTTCTTTTCAAGAACTAAACCACTTCCTCCAAGCTAAATAAATAAATAAATAAATAAATAAATAATCCCAGGGTCTCCCTGCCCTTCACTCCCTATTGTCAAGCATTATTTGCTGAGTGCAAGGAAAACCTGGGTATTCGGAATGTTGCCTCAGATATTGGGCTTTCAAGATGATCTTTGATGTGTCCTTTCTAAGAAAACTGGCAAGAAATCTCACTTGGACTTTTTTTTTGCTATTAAATACAGGACTGGCAAGCTGTATATATATCCAAATGACTTGCCAGATTCCACAGAAATGGTTATCACTAAATGAATCTCTCTAGTGCATTACTAACTGGAAAAACCCCTGCTCTGAGAGTTGCACTGGTTGTCAGTGAGCTTCCAAGCACAAGTCAAGGCACTGGTTACTATTTATTCCTGGCAACTGGGACAGTTAAGAAATGTGGTCATTAGGCAACCACCTCACCTAGCACTCCAGATTGTCGTTCACTGAATCTCACCATTGTTAGGCACTTAACTGGCAGCAAAAGGGCTTAAACCCAAGGACTTCAACTACCCCCAGGCCTCAACTTCAGCCACAGCAGTCACAGAGTTTTGTGCCACAGCCACCCACCCAAATGACACAACACAAAGTCTCTGCCGACCAGCATTCCCGACCCTGCCATGCCCAAATGACCTTCCTCTTGCTGCACAGGAGGTAGAACGTGATCTGGCTCTCTGTGATGCAGCTGTTGGACATTCCAGGCCTTTCCCCCCCAAGGCTGTATGTGCTGTTCTAATACAGATAGTCCTCAACTTACAACAATAAAATTTCTATTGTTAAGTGAGACATTTGTTAAATTGAGTTTTGCTCCATTTGACGACCTTTCTTGCCATAATTGTTGAATGAGTCACTACAGTTATTAAGTTAGTAACATGGTTGTTAAATGAATCTGGCTTCCCCATTGACTTTCCTTGTCAGAAGGTCGCAAAAAGTGATCAGATGACTTTTGGACATGCCAACTGTCATAAATATGAACCAGTTGCTAAGCTTCTGAAATTTGATCACATGATCATGGGGATGCTGCAAAGGTCGTAACTGTGAAAAACGGTCATACATCCCTTTTTTCAATGCTGTTGCAACTTTGAAAGGTCACTAAACAAACTGTTGTTATGTCAAAGACTACCAGTAATGCACTCTACTTTGAGAAAGCTTCAGAGGCCTTCTGAAGGATTGTGAGAATGGGGCATACTGATCTAAGAACAATACAAATGGCCTCAACAAAAGGACTGGAACAGCCAGCAGTAGCCTGATATGGAGCAAGGCTGGGCATATCTGGTCAGCAATGGAAGACAGCTAAGTTCAACTGGGCGCAGCATGGCCTGCGAAGTGCAGGTTGGCTATTTTGCATGGTAGCACTTGGGAGGCTTGAGGCAACATTTCTCAGTGGTGCTGGAACTAAAATAGCAGCCTGGGGGCAACTGGTCAAAAGTGCTGGACCCTAGCCTCTACCCCTTGCACTCCTGCTGAGGAATGCCGGGCTGCCAAAAGGACAGGCAGGGGATAGTTGAAGGGCCCTTGTAACGCCCAAATTTTCACCATATAACTAAGGGGCCATTGTAACAGTCATAACTTCAGAGACCCAGTGTAAATTCATTCATTCATTTAGTGCCGCTATTAACTTCAAACAGTTGCTGAATGAATAGTCATTAACTCAAGGACTATCAGTAAAGCTTTTACTGACATAAGGCTAGTTTATTTGAATAACTGCCTCTCTTCCATGATAGCTGCGTATCCAGTAATATCAGGCAGAACTGATATGGATATAATGCTGTCCAGAAGAACCCAGGAAATATGACTTCTCTGTCACGGTTCCTGTCTGGCACAGCATCCCATTAGAAAGTCTTTAAAACAGAGATCTTTTCCCAGGCTTTGGAATAAGGTGATTGTTGTCCCCAATTAAATAGTTGTGAAATATTTATAATGTGTGACTGGACATATACCTCTTTTTGCTTACTTTTAAAAAAAATAGTGCAAGTCTCCCAGAGGGAATTGGGTAGCCTTCATTTAATCCAATCGATAACAAACTTTCACAAGACAATCTTCCCCAGCCTGAGCTAGCACCTTCCAAGGATATTTAGGCACAATCAGTAATACTGGCTGGGAATGGCAGTATTAGTGCTTGCTAGGGTGGGGAAGTCTATGACTAGAGAAATAAATTGGCACTTCAATTTTAGTTTCTTAGTAGTAACAACAGCACTCACTGTGAATTTTAATTCTATTTTGCCCTCCAAAAATGCTCTGTGGGCAGATACTTCCATTTGTTTTTAGCAGCCACTCAAGATGGTCAAGGAATGGCTTTGGACCACTTCAAAGAGTTCTTCCTTGGAAAAAGTCAACATGTGTTGACCACATGGTCATTTTAGAATGGAGTCACTCATGTATCAGGTTTTGACATCTCCTCCCCCTCTCTCTCTCTCACACACACACACAAGTCAACATATGCCAATATAATATATAGCATCAGAATCTGCACAGAATCCCACACATGGAAATTAAGCACAGACAACCAAGGAAAGCCATTACAACAGTGGTTCTCAACCTGTGGGTCGGGACCCCATTTGGGGTCAAACGACCATTTCACGGGGGTCGCCAAACCACGCTGTCCGCCATTTTTTTCCCTTTTCCCTAGCTGTCCTACTCCCTCTTATTGGTGGCCACACCCACTTGGGGGTCACCACAACATGGGGAACTGTATAATGGGGTCACGGCATTAGAAAGGTTGAGAACCACTGCATTACAATTACCTCTTCACTGTCTTCATCTGGATTCACCTTCATAGCACCAACATCCACAACACGCCAGCTGCAACAATTGGTAAAAAAAAAAAAAAAAAAAAGCCAGTAGGGTAAATAAACTCATTATCACCTGGATACAACAGCAAAGGGAATTCTGCTACTTTTGCCTTTGGCTTTTCCTCCATGGAACTTATGGAGAGATTTTCACTGACGATCAAAACAACTCAAGAACTCAATTTAAGCTGAAGATTGAGCTTAAACCTTTCTTGAGAAAGTCAGAGCTATGGTGGAGCCTGACTCTGATGATGGCATTTCAGACTATTGTCCCTTCTAAACCTCAGTATCACAAAAATTGCCCTTTATTTTCAAGCACACCTTTCTAACTCTTTTCCCACTCCAGGTAAAGCAAATAAGCTTCAAGCATCTTTATTAGAGATCTCACAAATATTCTTAGCAGTCTTATCTCAAACTGTCCTTTTAACATGCAGTGGCATAATTTCAAATCAGACAAACCAGCTCACATGCCTTCTGGTCTCTGTACTAGGCTGTGACTCCAATCACCCATTGCAAAATCTGTTTGTGAGATTTGCCATTTAAAAAAAAAATCACTTTATTTGGAGACTATGTGAGCATTATCGAGAGAAAATGCCTGTTTCTAATCTCTATATAACATATTATATTAATTGCAATAATAATAATAAACATATATTGCTTTTGCAAGGATCAACTAGAACTCTTTCACTTCTAATGGCACACTGTTGGAATGGATGGGTGAGGATGATGAAACAGATCCAAGGGATAGAGCCAGCTAGCTATTCATCTCCACTATGTAACATTATAGAGCCACTAAAAGAGACTACTGTTGCCATGACAGCATGAAAAAAACACAAAAATGGAGGAGTGGGAAATATTTCACATTCACTTTCCATGATTATCATACCCTTGCTCTAGAATTCTTCTTCTAATTTCTAACCAACAGTAGAGAGCATTTAAATTGGTGACCAAAGTTTTGGATCTTTAAAAATGAAAGCATGATGAGCTATGATCTTCCTAGAAAAGTACAGAACCCTGACCCTGCAGTAACATGACTGTGATTTATAATGCTTTTGCTGGAAATATGTATTTTACTTCTGGTCTACAGGAAAAAAACCCTACCCACAGCAAAAAATGGGTTCATTCTGCTTAATGATGGTGGCGAACACTTTAGAACCACTGGGGGAGGGGTAGCAAAATTGGGTCTGGTCATGTGACCCACTTTACAATTGTCATGACTCACAGCCAAAATTGTGGGTTCAATTACAGTCATAAGTTAAGGACTGCATGTAACAAAGAAGTTCTATCAAGGCCACAGCTAACACCCAGCATTTCTCATTTCCATCTATAATAATCTAAAATCTACAATAAATAAAATATTTTAGATTAAACTACTACATCTCATGTAATTTCACTCTCGGTAGAAATATGGCTTCTGTGATGGAAAAACAAAATTTTGTAAGGAGGCCAGTGTAAGGAACTACATTTCCCTTTCCTGGAAAATCCTTGACCCTTTCAAATTTGAATAGACCTCTGTTCTGTAACTTATTTTTAAATGTTTAACCTGATTTTAAGAGAATAGTTCTGTTTCTAGACTATTGAGGGAGCAATGGTAGTTTTCTTGATACTATTTAACTTGTTCCAAGTATCCTTTACATTGGTCATACTACTAGTTGAAAAATATAGATCAGGGCTTTTCAACCAGTGGTACGGGTACCACCTGTGGTACATTGGCACCTGGCAGGTTGTATGTGGCCATCCTAGAAAAGTAGCAGGGGAAGGGAATGAGCTGAACCGGTGGCAACACTGCACAAGTCTGAGCGAGTGGAAGCACCAGGCTCAGTGCCGCTTTCCAGCTGATCGGCGCTTCTTCAGGGCTGTCAGTGGAAGCGCCAGGATCCCGCTGGAAAGCAGCACTGATCCTGGTGCTTCTGCTGAGCCCAGAAGAAGTGCCAATCAGCTGGAATGTTGCAGCATCTCCAGGGTCTTGTGATTAACTAAACCTCTGAACATACCTTGGTGTAAGAATTTCTTTGTACTGAAGTTTTTCTACCCTGGTTGTGGCAGCAACAGACATTGGTATGACAATGTTGTTAATATCAAAAGAGCTTTCCCCTCTTCTCCTTCTTGGCGGCTGCTGCAAAACAATACAGAAAACAACAGTGAAAATGAGGCAAGGGTTATGAAGAGGGAACAATTTGAAAACTAACCTATAGCAGAAAGAAAGGACAATGTTCTGGTCTATTAATCCAGTGATTAAAATACAATAGAAGTAGATTTATAGAAGTTCTAATTTGCTTAAATATTCCAGGGAACCAACTACTAATGGAAAACAGAAGATATCCTGATGTAAATTCCAAATTAAGCAACCTTGTAACTAGAACTAAAGTAAAGCTACACTACCCATTGTATAGTGCAACCAGTTTGTAAAACATATATTCATTCATTGGAAAGCCTTAAGAAAATGACAGCCCATTTTCCTAAAAATGGCTAAAATGTGCTTTACATTGCTAGTTCTAGTATCCATACATACTCTGCATACGTAACCCCACCAATATAAAATTAAAAACAAGTGCCTGAGGCTGCTGATTTTTGCCTAAGATTCTACCATGTTATTCACGAATACTTCTTGGACAATACCATCTCTGGCTCAGTGGGCGCCATATTGTGACAGATCTAACTTTTCCTTTTGGCTGTTTTATAGCGAATAGGGTTCTACACACATTCCTTAATGAAATGTTTCTCAATCTTGATAGTTTGAAGTTGTGTGGATTCCAACTCCCAGAATTTCCCAGCCAGCACTGTTGGCTGGGGAATTCTGGGAATTGAAGCCCACACATCTTCAAGCTGCTATAGTCGGGAAACACTATCTTAAGGGGATTCTCAAGCCTCTGCTCTGTTGACATAGCAATTTATACCAAATTATGATACCCATTCAAGACAGTTATTCATTACTTCATTTTTATTGCATTTTTCACTAGATTTCATAATCTTCTTTACTGCTTTAAATACTTGATGCAGAATATACTTGGAACTTTTTTTTTTAGTGTCAACAAGCTTAGAAGAAAGATTATAACTTACTAAGAGGCATTTAGAAAAAAAATAGCTTACTTGGGGAAATTTGAAACTAACCTTATTACATTTCAAACTTTTAAAATGGTGGCCAACTTGGGAAACCTTGAAGTAGAGGAAACCAGACATGAAATATACCACAGACAATACTACCAATAAATGTTTACAAAAATTGCTTACGATTTACCATTGTCTCAGTGTCCTCTTTTTCCCCCAGTATGAATAAAGAGAATAAAAACCAAGCACATGCATCTATTGCTGTTAAAACTGCACTTTAATCACAAGTTGAGACAAGCAATTAGTCAAGGGCACCGCTACACAGATACAAACAGACCCAACAGTCTCACTTCAACTGTTAATGTTGGAAAATAGGATTGTTACACACATACACATCTCGCCACTGATTGGCTAGCACAAGGCCCCTGCCCTGCATTAATGGACCCTAGTATTATTTAGGTACTTGAGGGGTTCAATGAAGTATGAACCAGCAGGAGCTACTCAAAACAGAGATGCAAATTTCGTGATCCAGTTCTTGCTTGCAAACTCATACAAAAGTACTGATATGAAGACCAAAGTGTGTGAGATTCCGTAAGTATCATAATAACACAAGCCAAAAGGGAAATGGAAGGGAAGAACCTTTTATTTCCCTTTGTCTAAATTGGTGACATTAAAGTTATTCATGAACATATTTAGATATTTATACTCAGCTTTTCCCACATTGGTCCTATGTTGGGTCTGTGGCAGAAGCAGTCAGTGATGATACATTTTTCCTTACACTATTCATCATTCTGGATGGGATTACATTCTAAGTAAAAGAGGATGACCAGCATTTGGAAGGGCTCCTTGACACCTCCAATTATCTCTGGATTTTCAGATGGCATGAGTGATAAGGAATATGGTCAAGCAATCACATCAGATGCAGAAGAGGCTGTATCTGAGCTGGCAAGATCCAACAATAATTATCTACTTCTTGTTTATACTGCAATGTCTTCTATATAGTTTTACTCTTGAGGACTGTATGGAGGCTCCAACTGGTATAAAGTGCAAAAACTAGATTGCTAACTGGTAAACAATAACAGTATTGTGCAAATTTTGAAAAACCTGACCCACTGGTACTATCTTACAGACTACAATTTTAGGTTTGGTTTTTATCTTTAAAATCCTGAATGGCTTAAGACCCTCACTATCTGATGGACCGGTTGGTTAAATCATAAATCAGCAGAAGAGGTTCTCTTAGAGATACCTTTACTTTCTGATGTGTCTCCTAGATACCTGAGAGATGGCCTTGTTTCCAAGCTTTGGAGCACAGTCTCTGAAGAACCCTGGTCAGTTCCCATTCTTTCTGCTTTCAGAAAACGGATCAAAACCACCTTCTAAATTCAGTCTTTTTCTAAATTGTGTTAGTTTAATAATGGTTTTAACAATGCTTAATATAATTTTTTTTTAAAAAAAACCTTGTCATTTTGTAGTGACTTTGTAACGATTGCTCTATATGCAGAAAGACACAAAAATATGTAACTGAAATTCCATCATAACCAATAAAAACATAGCTACTGGTATGGTTAATGGAAAATGCAGACCAAAATCATACAGAGAAGTTAACATGGTCCACAACTTCCAACATCCTCGGGCCGTAACATTCCAATATATTTGGAATTTACATGTTTTTATTGAACACTTTTCTTCTTTCTTTCTGCTCTCATCTGCCCAACAAATAAAACATTCAACTAGATTAATTTATCTTATTACTTTTAATTGTAGGACCCCCTTCTTATGAATAGAACTGGTTGACTGATCATGTTCCATCATGACCATGTTAACGCATGTTGTTTGGCCTTTCCAGGTTGAATGAAATGAATTAACAATTTCAATTCAAAGTTTGTGAAATGGCATTTTCCATTCAACTCAAATTTGAATAGGGAAAAAAGCATGATTGCTTCTTACGACTGACATCCAGTTTTTGTACAGGAATTTAGAGAAATATGTATCATTTTCTTAATTTTATTTTTTCAATAACCACTCTATACAGGGAAATTAATGTGGTAGTTGCACTTTTATAGCTAAATGTGCAATTCCTGACTTAGCTACTATCCTGCCCTAGCTAAAATGATCCTGATTGTGTCCAACCAAAGAAATCTCCAGGTAAGAATTAGAATGCTATTTTGAACACCTCCTCTAGTGATATCACTGAAATTCCACTTTTATCTAATATGGGCTAAACAGCTTGAAATGCTCAATTACATTAAAAGACGGGTGGCATATAAACTTAATAAATAAAATAAAATAAATATTTCAAGCAAATAAACTTGCTTGGCATAAGGAAGGGGTATGAATATGGGACTAGTGACCCAAAACACAGTGACCTTGTAGAGTGCTGTTAGTGTCCAAATGCTAAGAAAATAAATCATAAGAGGGCTCCCAAAAAGCATTTTCTAAATGCTTGACAAGTCTGGAAAACCAAATTCTGCCAAATGAAGCCTACCTATCACTAGCAATTCTTCAGACAAAATTAACTATCTATTAGTGTGCTTTTCTAGAGTCTGGCACACAATCTCATACACCAATCATCCTATGTACAGGCTATTCCATACATAGGACGAGAAGTTCTGGGCAGTTGTGCCTGGGTTAGAATATGCAGTTTTACTCTGTGTCCAAATCATGCATTTTCCAAGCAGAGATGTTCTGCAATGGGGAGAATGGGAAAGGAGAAAAAGGAGATAGTAACATGGCAACAGCTAAAAGTATACAGAAGTTAAGGAATAAGATGGCACAGACTGGTTACAGAAGGTGGACGTATATGTAGGCTAAGTTTGACAATTCCGATAAAACTTGAGAGAAAATTTTTTCAAAATTTAAATTCATTGGTTTTGAACTTTATTTGGCAGGGGAAAAAAGCTAGAATTAAGATGAAAACATTACAAGATGCTAAGGAAAATGGAGGTTTTGTGTTGCCGGAATGGACATTGTATTATCAAGCATCTGTATTAACATGAGTGAAAGAGTGGATAACACTTAGAAATAAAAGGTTATTGTATTTAGAGGGACATGATTTACAATTGGGGTGGCATGCTTTTTTAAGGTATGGGAAAAACAGAGTTCATAAGTACTTTCAAAATCATTTTATAAGAAATGCCTTGTTAACAGTATGGAGAAAAATTAAAGCTAAAATATATTCAAAAATTCCAGGGTGGTTATCAACTATGGAGGCATTCATACATCTGAATCTGGTAGACTTTGAAAAAGTATGGATATATATGGACATATCTAAGATATTTTAGATATTGATGGGAAATTAAAATCTAAACAAAAATTGGAAAATTTAGGAATAAATTTGTCCTGGTGGGCACATTTGCAGATACAAAGTAGATATGAAAAAGATGTAAAAATGTATGGATTTTACAAGGATCAAAATGTGTTTGATAAGATTTTGTTAACCTCAGATGAGAAATTAATTAAGAAAATGTATAATTTTTTGTTAATTTTAGATATGGAAAGTGAACAAGTGAAAGAAACGTGATAAGATGGGCAAAATTTTTTGGTTATGATATAGAGTTAGAAAAATGGCAAATGTTATGGGAGAGAAAACTATAAATTAACAATGTCAACTTCATATAAAAAAATCTGTATAAAATGTTTTATAGATGGCACCTTCCACCAGCAAGATTAGCAAAAATGTTTAAAAATATGTCGGATACATGTTGGAAATGTAAACATAACACAGGCACGTATTATCATATTTGATGGACATATAGGAAGGCAAAGGCCTATTGGAAAAGCATACATATGTGATTAGAAAAAATATTGGGCGAACAAGTGGATTTTAAACCTGAATTTTTTTTACTAGGCATTATTTCTGAAAAGACTGATAAGCAGAAATTATATTCAATTCTACATATTACCACAGCAGGGAGAATAATTTTTGCACAATACTAGAAGAATGAAGGATTGCCATCAGAGGAAGAAATAATCACGAAAATATTGGAATGTGCAGAGATGGACAGACTAACTATGAGGCTGAAAGACAAAGAAGATACGGACTACTATAAAATTTGGAATTAATTTTATTCTTGGTTAGAGAAAAGAATGAAGGATTAGGAATTGAACACGTATTAGCTTAGCAAATTCCAGACAACTTGTTAATTGGAAAAATTAACATATGTTGATAAAAAAATTAATAAAAAGATTGGGAATATAAATTTGAAAGCTAAGGCAAAGCAAGCCATGGGAAGGCTGAGAGAGGGGAGGGAGAGCAAGCTATAGAGCAGACATGTCAAACACAAGGCCCGGGGGCCGGATGTGGCCCGTGAAGCCATCCTGGAAACAGTGAGGGAACGGCCCCCACTGCCTTGGTCCTGGCCAGCCGGGAAGGAGCCAATGTACAATTCTGTGGTGGCCATCTATGCTGAAACACATTCAATCTTAGCTCCACAAGGCCGTCTGGAAACAGCGAGGAACCAGCCCCTGCCGTGTCGGCCCCACCCCCTGGGTGCATGCTGGGGAGGTGTCACCCTTTGTGAGGAATGAAAAAATGCATCATCACCTGGAAGTGGTCCTGGTCCCACCCCCTTCTGCCAGAGATCCTCAGATCTGTCCCACTCCTGCCCAGGTCCCCACAGGCACCATTGACGCGGATAATGTAGAGCTGGCCATGCCCATCCAATAGGCCACACCCACTCCATTCACACCTTCAGTAGGCTGCACCCACTCTGGCCACACCCACCTGGCCCGCGGAGGGCAACCGCAATGCTGATGTCGCCCTCAATGAAATTGAGTTTGACACCCCTGCTATAGAGGGAGGAGGAAGTACACCAATTTTACCCTACTTCTTTTGTAAGGTCCTTTTCAATTGTCTGGGTCAAAACACAAAAAACTAGCAAGTTTCAATTCGGCTGAACTGAAAAGCCATAAATTTCCCCTTCCATGCATGAAACTGCAGATACATTTCATTTCTAACTGCCACCTCTTACCCCCTCTCTCATCCATGCTCCACTATGATTCACGACTTCCTTGTTCCCAAACCCAGAATATATTGCTTCCCAACTTCTTTTCTTCACTTTTTCTTCCTCTACTACAGTCTGGGACACTATATCTAAATCCAATTGTTAAGATTGATGATCATGAAAGCTAAAAATCACCTTTTTCACTGTACCTTTGATACAGTCCTTTGTGTCCCATACTCTATAATTGAAACAAAAGAGTACATATGCATATCCTTCTGTTCAAGTCATTCCTCCTTACCCTAATTTTAATTCTAAGTCAAGGTTAGCTCTCAAGCACCTTGAAACCTGGAATGACTGGGGTCATGCAACACACTGCATCCCAAAGCACTGAAGAAATCAAACTCTAAGTCACTTGCTACTGTCAGATAACCCCACATCGCCACCCAAAGTACTTACAGTTGCACTGGAACTTCCCAGGGAGCTTGTGGTGACAGGAGGGATGGAATTTTCAGAGGAAGTGGAGAGCTGCCTCATGAAGGAACTGTGAGCCGTGGAGGCCATAGCACTCGACAAATAACTTGGCCCTCCTATCTCTGCGTGGTGCTTCAACACTATTTGAGAAAGAAAGAGAAGAAATAAGGAAGAGCACAATGAATGAGAATGCCTGTATTATACCCACAAGCATTACACCAGACAGGCCTCAAACAATTGACATAGAAGAACCAGAGCACACTTAAGGGAGCGAAACTTCCTCTGGCTGGACTGCTTCTCTAGAGGAGGAAGTTGTTAAAAGCACACAAGAGAGACCATGGCAGGTAACACCACTCACTGCCCCTTTTAATTCCCCAGAAACAGAAAGCGACCATCTCGAAAGGGAGATGGGGAGCAGAACGCAGAGCCCAAGCTCCCCCCGGACAGACCTGGCTGGGGCCAGCCTACCTTCACTTCTCTTGGAGGAGCTGTCCCGCAATCGCTTTCTTTCATGAACTGCCGTCAGGATAAGTGAGCGCTCTGGCGCTCTCTCGGCCTTGAGAGCAGCCCTCACATCGTTTAAGGGCTGCCTGTGTGCCTTGTCTGGCTCGATTTTGTGATGTGAGCAAGCTGAGGAGTGGAACAGAAAGAGAGCCATGAAAATGCCCTGCTTTCACCTCTCTTTCCTGTCTTTCAGGACCCAACCTAGGCAGGACTTGGGAGCCATACAAACATGATTGCCAGAACAACATAAAAGAGTCACTGGCAGCAACTGCCCTCAGGTGACAACCATATTAATTTAGTCGTTGTAGTAAAAATCCATCCATCCGTCTGTCTATCCATCTGTTAGCGAGGACTGTTATAGTGCAGAACTTTTGAGTTGCACCCAGCCCTGCCAAGGTTTCTAACATGCTGGCTTCCATTCTGGCCTACATGTTTGTGTCAAATGTATTCTCTAAAGAGAGTCAAGAGGCAATTACAGATGGTGCTACTTGACCACTGCAGAACTATCTCAAAAATCAAGAGCAGCAGGATCTGTCTTTTGCTTTATTTTAAGTATTACCTACCTTAGCAGTTTATCAATTATATACTGTACAGGAGAGGTCCCCAACCTTTTGGGCACCGGGACCGGTTACCCTGGAGAGAGGTTTTTCTGTGGACCGAAGGGTATGTGGTTTTGTATGCTGTCTGCATCTCGCAGATGGGGCTTTGCTTGTTTGTGTGGCCCGGCTGCTGGCATGCTGTGACCTGGTACTGGTCCAAGGACTGGGGGTTGGGGACCCCTGCTGTACAGTGTTCCTGATGCTCAAAGCAATCCTACTCACAAAGTAGAAATAAATGTGTATGTATGTGCATGCAAATATATTTTCTCTTCCTTATTTAGGAACACACAATCCATGTTTAATTGTTTTCAGTTCCAGAACAACACATATCATAACCACGAAATGTTCAAGAATGACTGCATTTTACATAAACACATCATGGTTTTCCCATAGCAGTAGCCAACACTAAATGATCAGCTCCCTCATGCTCCAATACAAATTCTAAATTCCTTCAAAAGTGTTTCCTGGTCAAACAGTCTACAACATCACATTTCAGAAATTTAATCTGCTTCTATTTTGTAAGAAAAGGGAAAAGGAGGGGAGGTTGATAAGCTCAATAGCAAAACTCATGCTTTGTATGCTCAGAGTCATAGGTCAAACTTTGGCATCTCCAGATAAAAAAGGTTGTAAACGGAAGTAGTGTTTTCAAGCCAGAATACACAAAACTCTAGGCTAGATAGAGCAAAGGCCTGGCTCAGAATAAGGGACACCCTTATGTCTTTAATATTAAATATTACTTTTATTCTTCCTCTTTATGTAACATAAACCTTCAAAAAGAGTTACATGTTTAATTCCTTCAGTTATTCATGCTAGATTTTTCTTTTCAACAAATACGAAATTAAGTTCTCCTTAACATTAACTCACATAGGCACTGCAAAAATCAGAATGGGAACAAGAGCTGAAGTTTTACTTCAATAACCATTGTAGGCCATTGGTTCTTGCCTAGTTTGTTTTCTTCACTGCTTATTTATTATTTGTACAAATGAATTTTTAGAAGCATAAATACAAGCTTCTCTTCTTTAACTAATTCACCTTTTTTCTTCTTAAATTAAATTACTACTAAAAGAGGACATACTACCAGAAATTATACTTCCAAAGGGAGAAAGTAGAGCTGGGCCTCTAGGCCGCCTGTAATCCTGGAAGCCCTGCTGTAAAGCCAGAGTTTGTGTACTATTATTATGGGAAGCCCAAATACTCAATGTGTTCTCAGAGGCAGTCTCTTATTTATTACTTCCTTTTCCAGGCTGGGTACTAGCATTAATCACATTTCAAAGTAGAACCCTGGTTGACTTTAAGCCATATATATAGATGACTCTGCAGGAGTAAACAGATAATTCCTGCCAATTCAAGATTAAAATCAATAAAGGCACTTACTGGCTGCTGCTAAAAAGGTATTAACCAGCTTGTGACGGTCTTTGCGCATTGAGTCAGACAGGCTGCTGAGAGGCCCGGTGGATCGGTGCTTCAACACGAACTTTTTGGGAGGTTTGATTTTCTCACAGGGCTTGTTCTGTAAGTGGGATTTCAACATGCCCTGAAGATGTAAGCTTACTTGTACATCTGCAGAAAAATGAATACACACATACATAAACACAAAACCAAAAAAAGTCAATTATCGGACATTATTCAGAATAAAGATGGCCTATTCTGAACGCAGAACAAAGTTCCTCACCAAATCTATCTAAACCTAAATTTGGAGATTTATAGCAACATGGATCAAAATTACATCCATTTGGAGGGGGAAAAAAAGCAATATTTATGGAGTTCTTTATTTTCACTGTAATGGCTCAACTGCAGTTACACTAACACCGTGCCCTCCAGATTTCTTGAGTCAATTGGAATTCTGAGCTAACATAGCCTTCAGCAACAATACATCTGGTAGACATGTCCCCCCTCCCTTTTTGGATAGGCACAAAAAAATAGGCATTGGATTCTTGTATTAATTTCGATGCTGTCAAATATTTTATAAAATATTGGGCTTTCTTAGTTTTATTTTTTGTTCTTTTTATTTATAAACTGCTTAAAGGGATTTCCCATAAGGACTGAAAGAATAAAAAATAGAAAAAGGAAAAATAGTCTTTCTCTCTAAGCATGCTCTGCCTCCAGTTAGGGCACAACAGTTTTGTTTGTAGAGACCCAACAACAGTGGCAGCAGCAGCTACTCCAACTGAAATAGCTTTCTCTGGAAAAAATTCAAAAGTTGTAGGTTTCTATCTCAAGTTTCATTTTACTTGAATGCAATTAAAATATTTTGTTAAAATCCAAAATAAGATTTCTTTCTTAAAGTAAATATTGAGTTCACCTTAAATTAAAACTAGGATATTCCTAAATAACTTAAATGACAGCGTATGCCTTACAATAAAATTTTGAAGGTAATTTTACGTCTTTGAGGAAACACTTAAAAAAGCTTTTCCACATACATGAAGAATTTGATCACTTCTCAAATACAACACTGATTCATCATCTATCCAAAACGAGATCTTTTATTTTCACCTAACACTTGTAGTCCTATAGTCTATCCAGTAGCAACCTGAACATACTTCCAAATAATTTGTCACTGGCAGTTCCCTTTTTGTTTGGTAATTTTCTATATGTGTGAAATGGACCAATCATGAACATGGATAGAAACCACAAACATTACCTAAGATCTAGAGAAATGGGGCTAGGGGTGGTGCAGGCAACTTGAAAGACAAGGTACTAGAAAATGTACAAGTAAAAGAAAGCATGACAATGTATGAAATGTACACACAGACACCTAGTTAAAAGCAAAATGTATACCTTTGTTTAGAACATATACACAACTGAAGGATACAAGGCCACATCCTATGCACACATAACCCTCAAACAAAAGTATTCTGAGCATTTCCTATAGATTTTCAAAATGTATAGCAAACAGTGGTTTTTAATATCAAGAAAATGCCATAGTATATGCCTAGGCAGTACCGTATATGCCGGCGTATTAGGCGACCCGGCGTATAAGACGACCCCCGTCTTTGGCGCCGAGTCCCATTCCTAGAACGTCGTCTTATGCGCCGGAAATTACCAGTATTTCCGGCATATAGGACGACTCGGCGTATAAGACAACCCCCGTCTTTGGCGCCGATTTTAATTCTTGCGGAAGTCGGCATATACGCATATACGCCGGCATATACGGTAATCATGTTTAATGCTTACTTATTGCAAATGTAGATGAAACAAAATCCATTTTAATTTTTCGCCCTACCATTGCCTACCATGTTTAGAGTGCACTCTGCATAGTAGTTCAAAATCAAGAATAGTCACAGTATAGAAATAGTTGCACCCATTTGGAAAATAAGGTACCTGCCCAGAATATTCCATAAATGGGCAATACACAAGTAAATAAAACTAGGAGCAGGACTTAAGATAGGAAAGGTAGTTGGATATGAGAAACAGCTGATGAAAGAGGATGAATTCAGATATTAATTAAAAACAGCTTGGATAATAGGCCCAAAAGCTGAAAAGTAAAACACCTTCAGCAGAAAAATTCAAATCAATGTGCCAAGCAAATCTCCTGCCTCTACTCTAGCCACATGCTAATAAAATACAAATGAGGGAAAAGGCATATAACCTAAGAAGGCTGCTCTGTAGCAGTAAAATAATGCTACCTATGTGCATGCATACTGAAGAGAGAAGTGCATTGTTGAAGAAACATGAGCAATTTTTCCATCTGACCACACCATCCAATTGATTATTCAGTTTACTTTTCCTCCGTCTTACTGCTAGCCAACATCTGACTGCGCCAAAACAACATCGTGACCTGCCAAAACAGCCTTTTTTCCCTGATCAAACGCTTCAGAGTAGCAGCTTTCTCTTAAGAGCCCCAGATGGCGCTATCTTAGCTGTTTTAAAGACCTGATTAACATCCTTTTCACCAAGGTTGTTATGATGTTATTACGTCATCTGGAAATTTCCAGTCACATATCAAATCATCCAGACGAGGGCAGAACACTCATTAAGAATCTCACATATGGAAGAGAGAAGCAGGATGAGGGCAGGGGAAAGGAGGGGGAGAGAGATGCCCAATTGTTGTTTAAATTCTATCTACTAGTCTGTAGCAGCGCATGTCAGGCAGCCCTTAGATAATTAGATCAGGGATGCCTAAAGTTAGTGCCAAAGTAGCTCAATACCCTAGGAGAGCCAAAGTAAATGCTTTTCCAGATCCTCCCTTATCCAAAATCATTCAGCCTCTACTATCCCCCTGTGGCTGCCTGCCTCTCTCTATGGTCTAAAGCAAAAAGAAAAAAAGTTTTGGTTTCTGCTTCCAAAGGATCATCCTAAGGCCAGCATCCTATGTAAGACAGGATAAAAGTAGAGATCTTACTATTGCCTAGATATGGCTTCCGAGTTAGCTTGGAATGAGGAGCTGATTTTTTGTTCAGCTCTTTTTATTACTCACATCTGCTAATGGGGTCATTCTTACCATCTGGGAATGAAAGTACAGGGTGGATGCAGGAATCCAACTGTGAGAGATGCTCCATCAAAGGGGCTTCATACTGGATTTCTGAAGGCATTGAGCTTCGAGAGCCACAGAGAACACACAAAGAGTTCACATCACAACCACACCGCTGTGGTTTACGATAAACCTAGACATAGGATGAGATAGGGAGAAGGGCTAGAATCCATCAATCTAGAAGAAGGTATCAGCTTTCACTCTGTTTCAAACTGAGCATCTGGTCTTCAATCACCCACTATTTTCATTCTGTAGAATTGCTCCAAGTTTCTCTACATGGGAAATCAGGCTGGCCAGAGACCAATGGTTTTGAGGTGCTCTTGGCTGCCCAAAACATAAAAGGAAAAACATGCGTTACTGCCACTGCTTGGTAAGGAAGGAAGGAAACTTCAGGACAGCACTGGTTAATCAGGAAAGGATTAGTGAAATTATCCAGAGAAATTTGAAATTTATATCACTGTAGAATCAATGCAGTGGAAAGAGGAAATACAGGTAATTCTCGACTTATGAGCACAATTGAGCCCAAAATTTATATTGTTAAGTCATTTAAGTGAATTTTGCCCCATTTTATGACATTTCTTGTCACAATTGTTAAGTGAATCATTGCAGTTGATATGTTAGTAACATGGTTGGTTGTTAAGTGAATCTGGCTTCCCCATTGACTTGGCTTGTCAGAAGTTTGCAAAAGGTGATCATATGATCCTGGGACATAGCAACGGTCATAAATATGAACCAGTTGGCAAGCATCTGAATTTTGATCACATGACCATGAGGATACTGCAAAAGTTGTAACTGTGAAAAACAATCATAAGTCACTATTTCAGTGCTGTCGTAACTTTGAACAGTCACTAAATGAACTGTTGTTAAGTCGAGGACAACCTGTATATGATTTGAATTATTGGACATAATGAACTACACGAAGCATTTAACAAGCCTCCAAGGTGATCTGATGGGAGTGGAAAGGGAACAGGAATGGATGAGTGAGACTGAGTTTGTGAATTTGCCTAAGAAGGTCAACTACAGGTATAAAGAATGGGGGTTGAGCTTTCTCTACTGTTTGGGCAAACTAACTGTACTTTAGTTTTTGCAGTTGTCTCTCTTATTACAGAACTTGTTCAGGACTAGAAAACTACTATTTACAGACTATCTAATAACAGGATATTTGCTATTCACAAATTCCAAAGTGTCAACTGAAACATAATTGTCACTAATAGTGCTTCATCCTACTAATGCTCCAATTAAAACAAACAAAAAACAAACCAACAAACCTTCTTCAATATCCATGATAATATAATAGCCCCAAAGTAATATATATAACAGTTTTGTTCTCGGGGGAAAAATTGCCTTTTTTCTGCATCAGAGAATGAGCACAGTAACACTTTATCTTCAATACTAATGTAGTTTAGAATGATTAGATAAAAATTGGGTTTTTTTAGAGGTTTACATTCTGTGTACTGTGCCTTCTATTTATGTATACAAATTTAAATTTGTTGACCATCAATACCACATTTGCCCTAAGTTATTATCCTACCAGACTATTTCACTGAAACAGTTCAGTCTGGCTGAAAATGCATACTTCCTTAAATACTTAGATTAGCCATTTTTTAAAAATGTGGGAGAGAGATGAAAAAAGAAAAAGATCTTTTTAAAAACAATAGATAATAATGGCAATTCTATGCTGCAAATGAACTCAAACACAAAACTTAGAACTGATTCTGAATTCAGTATACTAAACGTTGTAACCATTTAAACATTTTTTAAATTAAAAACTCTAAAACTAAACTCAAAGTATTTAAAAATATGAATCTTACCTCCCAAAGCAGTATGCATAGTGAAATGAGAAGTTAAACCACCTTCCTCTACCCACCTCTACAGTCAAATGATCAAGATTTAAAATGTATCTCTCTCCCAGTCTTTTCTACTCAATGCCAAACTCATTTAACAACGGGGGGGGGGGGAGTTCCACTGACACGAAGACCAATAAATGAACTTTACCTGAATATCAGAGAGACTCTAAGCAGATTTTATAATGATATGGGGCAAAAGAACAATATGTAAAACCAACAATTTGTTAGCTATCTCATATAGCTGCAAGATTTTCCCCTCCATTTTTTTTTACTACTTTAATTCATTTACAGACCTTTTTGGATAGTGGAATTAGATTGCTGGGTCGAACAAGCCTCCGCTTCTTGCAGTTGAGAAGAGGGCGTGTGCGGGCTGCCACACAGGTTCCATCAGGAATTGAAGACATCATATTTAATCTCTGCTTTTTCCGCAACAGCTCCTCAGCATCTGAGCCATCTCCCTGAGTTTGCTCTGTCAAGCCTGGCTGTAGACTAGCCAACAATGGAAAAAGGCATTAGGCATTTCTATTTCTCCATCTATTACTAATCGGAGTCAGATTTTCATTACCTAAAATCAGAAGCCCTTTTGTCCACTAGTAAATCCATGTATATAATAAAAGATTCAAAATAAGATCAGTACCCCCAAAATTCTTCTTTGATACCAGGTTAGGCTAGATTGCAATAAACATCACTTGTCAGCAACTCTCTAGCTTTTCATTATTTGGAAATGTCAGCTACTGTTTTTCCTTTGTTCTTACTGCTTCTCATGTCTTCCTGGCTTACATTTTTCTCATTCACATTTTTTCACTATTATCTTATCTTATGCTTCTGTACACAATGCCTACTCCAGCTCTCCTGCAGATTTATCCTGTTAACTTTCCATCACTTTTTACTTTCTCAATCCAACACGTTTTCCAGATTAGCTGGGCTATAGGTTCAGTTTGCCTAGCCATGCTGCGAGTTATAGTCTAAAAGGGCGTTGTCTTACCTGAACGCCTTTTCTCAGCAGGATGATGTAGAATCCACTGGATGGGTTGTTACAGCCTTCCTGCTCAGCAGACTAGGTCAGAACTTTGGCCATGCCTCTCCTTTGGGCGTGTCTCCCCAGTTTTGACGAGGCAAAGCAGCTCTGACGAATCCAACACAATGGCTCCATTTGTCATACACCTGCCTAGACTACCTACAGGGGAGGGTGTGGATTCTACATCATCCTGCTGAGAAAAGGCATTCAGGTAAGACAACGCCCCTTCTCCAGCAGGATGACTGTAGAATCCACTGGATGGGACATACCAAAGCTGCTCATGTCCCCTCGGGAGGGAGAGTCTAGGCTCATGAACCTTGAGAAGAAACAACCTGTTGAAGTACCCACCTGCCAAACACAGCATCAGCCGCTGCAAAGGCATCTACTTGGTAATGTCTGACGAACGCCGAGGGAGAAGACCACGTCACAGCTCTACAAATCTCAACCGAAGCTTGCGTGGACCATGCGGCCGACGCGGCAGCGCTGCGTGTCGAGTGAGCCGTAACGTGCGAAGGGACAGGAAGCGACTGAGAAGAATAGGCTCGAGTTACACATGTACTAATCCACTTACCTATGGTTGAAGAAGAAACCTTCTTCCCTATGGCCGAAGGTTGGAAAGACACAAATAAGGCCTCCGACTTACGGAAGGATGAAGTACGCTTCACGTAGTAAAGCAGAGCCCTGCGTACGTCTAACTTAAGCCACTGTCATTCCAACCTGTGTGTGGATTGGGACAGAAATTGGGAATGATCAATTCCTGAGACCTGTGAAAAACAGTGTTAACCTTTGGAACGAAGGAGGGGTCCAGTCTAAGGACCACCTTGTCATCAAAAAAGGTGCACAAATCCTCCCTGACGGAAAGCGCGGCTAATTCCGAAATCCTTCTAGCTGAGGTAATAGCTACCAGGAACGCCACCTTTAAAGACAAGAAATAGAGAGAACAGGAACTGAGAGGTTCAAATGGAGATGATATCAAAGCCTGCAACACCTTGCTTAAGTCCCAAGATGGATAGCGATGTATCACGGGAGGTCTGGTGTTAACCGCTCCCTTCAGAAAGGCACTGATCGCTGGATGTTGCGACAAGGGACTGGAATTGTCGCAGGAAAGAACCGTTGAAAGGGCCGCTAGTTGTCTGCGGATAGTACTGAAAGATAAACCCTTGTTCAAACCTTCCAACAGATAATCAAGAATATTTGGAATAGTGACCAAAAGTGGGTCAAACTTTTGTACAGAACACCACTTGCAGAATCCCTTCTATGTGGCGTCATAGATCCTATTTGTCAAAGGTCGTCTCAATGCTTGTATCATCGAGATCACCCTGGACGAATACGACTGCCTGGCTAAACCTTCCTGCTCAAGTGCCAAGCGCTAGCTGGAGCCACTGTGGGTCGGGATGTAGGAGGTTGCCCTGACTGAGGACCACTCGGTCCAGAGGAATTCTCCACAGGGGCGAGATCAAGAGATCCACAAGGTTGGAAAGCCACACACGCCTTGGCCAATGTGGAGCAATCAAGACTACTTCTGCCCCTTCCAGAATCAGTTTGCGTATGGTCGCCGGTAACAAAGGAAGTGGTGGGAAGGTGTAAAGAAGCTGTGCCGGCCACTGACATCGGAGGGCATCTGTTCCCTCCGCTCTCCGTGTCGGAAACCTGGAGAAGAACCTGGGAAGCTGCGTGTTTGACGGGGTGGCAAATAGGTCCAGGTGAGGCCGCCTGAACCTCAGTGAGATCTCCTCAAACAGAGCCGGGTCCAAACGCCATTCCGCATAGTCCACCTTGGCTCTGCTCAGAGAGTCTGCTTGACGATTTGCCTCCCCTGAAATATGCTCTGCCCTGATGGAACCCAGATTTGACTCCGCCCAAAGACCCAGAGCCGATGCTTCTCACATCAGTTCCCAGGACCTGGTCCCTCCTTCTTTGTTGATGTGAGACTTTGCTGCCACGTTGTTCGTCAGAACGAGGACATGCTTCCCCTTTACTAGAGGGGAGAATTGAAGGAGTGCCAGGTGTATGGCCCTGAGCTTGAGCCAATTTATATTGTGGGCAAGATCCAATCGAGCCCACTGCCCCTGGGCCAGATGGGTCCCCAGGTGAGCTCCCCAACCGAACAGACTCGCGTCTGTGGTAAGGGTAATCCGGGAGGACTCCCTGAATATAGTTCCCTTGGTCATCGCGGATGATGTCCACCAAAGTAGAAACCGTAATGTGTGATGAGGAACTGTGACCCTCCTGTTGGAGGAACTGAGGTTCTGTCTCTGATAGGGGAGTAGGAACCATTGTAGGAGCCTGGAGTGGAGCCTGGCCCACGGAACGATTCCCATGCAAGAAGCCATCTTTCCCAGGAGCTTTGACAGTTGTGCCAGAGGCACCCTGTCCTTTCGAACCTAATGAACCAGTTTCCTGATGCTGGTCCGATGCTCCTGGGAGAGGTATACCTTGCAAAGTGTCGAATCTATTATTGCTCCCAGGTGCTGGAGTCTCCTTGTGGGAGTCGTATGGCTCTTCCTAAAATTCACAGAGAACCCGTAATTCTGAAGAGTAAGTATTGTGATCTGAATGTCTAACTGCGCTGCCTGGAAAGAACTGGACTGAACTAGAATATCGTCCAGGTAACATTGTACGCACACCGGCATCAACCTGAGATGGGCCGCTATGACCGCTAATATCTTTGTGAAGACCCTTGGGGCCGAGGATAGACCGAAGGTAAGGGCCCTGTACTGGTAATCCCGGTGCGCGTAGCAAAACCTGAGAAACTTGTGATATTGTGGGTGTATGGCAATATGTAGATACGCCTCCGTGAGGTCTATGGAAGAAAGGAAGTCTCCCTTCCTGATGCTGGCTAATATGGACTTTAGGGACTACATCTTGAACCTTCTGTAGGTTAAGAAATAATTTAGTCCCTTTAAATCCAATATCGCCCTCCACCCTCCTGAGGCCTTGGGGACCACGAACAGAATGGAGTAAAACCCCTTTCCTTCCTGGTCCCTTGGTACTGGTTCTATGGCCTGAATTGCTACCAGATGAGAAATGGCCGAGGCTACCAAGTTTGCTTTGGTAGTGTTTCGGGAGAGTGGACACCTTATGAAACGGTCTGGTGGGGGAGAGTAGAATTCTAAGGTGAGACCATACTTGATGATCTCTACTACCCAAGCGTCGGAGGTGGTCAGTTCCCAGATGTCGCTGAACCTTTCCAGCCAACCCCCAATGGGAGAGCCCTCCCTGGCGTCACTTGGACCATCTGTAAGGGCAGCCTCCAGATCCCCTGAAGGGACGCTTAGACTGGAATTGGCCTCTGGCTCCAATATTTTGGCAATCCTGGGGACGATCCTGTCTGGAGTAGAAGGATTGCGAGCCTCTTGACCAGTCCCAGGATTGCCCTGGCCGAAAGGGCTGTCTCCACTCCCAGGAGCTGCTGGGACGGAAGCTTTGTTTACGGAACTCCTGTGGTGGTCTCCTGTCCAGTTTCTTGGAAGGATGGACTAAAATCTTGCGCTTGTCCTTGCCTTCACTAACGTGTGAATCCAGGATAGATCCAAACAAAAGTGTCCCACTATATTTGGACGTGGACAGGCGCCATTTAGCCTTCAAATCTGTTTTCCAATGTTTCAGCCATAGAAGCCTTTGAGAGGCAACAGTGGCTGCAATAGATCTTGCAGAATACTTAGTTGAATGTAGGGAAGCATCAGCCACATATTGTGACACGGCCACTAGCTTGGCTAGTGTTTGATGTGCTCTGACCTGATCTGGTGGGACGCTGGCTTGTAGCTCGCGAAGCCACATGATGCATGCCCTGGCGAAAAAGGAGGAAGAAGTTGCGGCCTCGGCCGCCCAGGCTGAGGCCAGGTGTGCCCGATGGAGAGAGAGTTCAAATTTCTTGTCCTCCGCTTTCAGGGCCTCCGCCATGTCCCCTGGAATAGCAGATGTGGAAAACAAGTAGATCAAAGGACTATCAACAGTGGGCACCTCCAAGAGTGAGGCAAATGAAGGAGAAACGTTAAACAGTTTCTTTTCTACACTGTTAGGGGCAGGCGGAGCAGCCAGTGAAAGCCATTGTTTTTCCACAGAGCTGCGGAAAACCTGTGGACAAGGAATATACTTGTCCTCCACTACCTTCTCCGCAAACAGAGGGTTAGCCTCCTGACTGGTAGAAGGTTTCTCCTCCTGCACCGAAGTGAGGTTAACAGTAGTAGTTGCCTTGATCAAGAGAGATTTGAAAAGAAAGGGGTCAAAGAGACCTGAAGTTGAAGCCTGCTCAGGAGCAGCCTCCTCATCTTCCGATAAAGGTATGTCAGTTATGTCTAGATCAACTAACTCTGCCTCTCCCAGCTGTGAAGAGGTCTCTGAAACACCTGTAGCGGAAACAGTGGCTATCCCTGGTTGGGACAGAGGTTGAAAGGTCAGTTGTCCCTTGGAGGCCATAAATTGATTGAATGCATTTTGCATGAAAGACTGGAATTGAGCAGACCATATATCCTCCTGAGACCTGCCACTAGGGCCAGCCACAGCCGGAACCTGATCTGGTGATGATGAGGATGAGGAGGAGCGAGGGGAACCAACCTGCTCAGTTTCCCCCTGAGGAGACCAAGACCTTAGAATTTCCTGAGAAGAAATGAATGTGGGCTCAGTTATAAGAACATCCAATGGGGCGAGGGAAACAATCTCAGCCTCATTGGACCTGAGTCTTTGGGCTCTAGAGAACTGTTTTTCCAATGCCAAATGTCTCCTTGAGGCCTCTCGCTCAGCTGTTTTAGAGGGCTCCTTCTGGGATATATGCTTTGTTTTGGCTTTTTTCTCCTTCCCCCCCGACTCTGATTCAGTGGATCTGCACTTTTGTTGTGGGAAGCCATTCTGGAGCTCTGTGAAGCTAAAGGCGAGGCGCTGTCTGTCATTGCGAACCAAATATACCGAGTAGGAAATACCTGGAGGTGGGGGGGGGGGAAACCAAAGTACGCAGACCAATTGACGGAGATGGAAAGAACACAATCCTCACTCTGTGCAACTGCAATGGCCGGACAATCAGGCGTTTCACTAAAAACATCTGTCAGGCCGGTGGCAAATGTTGTGGCCACTCTACTAGAACAGTTGTGGCCACTCTACTAGAACAGTTGGAAAAAAAGGGGTCTTCCCTCTTGTTCCTTCACTAAGAGAATTAGTATTGCTAGTGCATCAAGCACACAGATAATGCTGATAGCAAAGAAAACAGCTCAGTATATGTTGACAGGCTGAGTCTCCCCCCCCTCAATGTTGGCCTGACGAGTCAGACCCCAGGGGTGTCTCGGTTGTCCCTCCTGCAAGGGACTATAAAGGACCCTTCACTCAATAGAAGAAACGGGAATCTCCGTGCAGGTAGACCCACCCAAAATGGTGGACGTCTATAAAAACACATCCAAAATGGCGCCCGTTGTTTGGAACGCTCTCAAATGGTGGCCACCGGTGAAAAACACGTGGTCAAAATGGCGGCCGTGCCCCCATTAGAGGATTCCCGGGGAGATAGAACTAGAGCTAGAATGGAGGGAAAAGCGAGAGACAAGTGAAACTAACAGGCAGAGCCAAAGAGAACCCGATAAGTCACTTGTGTTTCCACGTCACTTTGCTAGTCTGGAATGTGTATTCCGCGCAGACTCCTCCGATCAGCTCCGGCCGCTGAGAAAACTCTCCGCGCCTCAGCTGTGCGGCCACTGGCCGCTGTTGTTGCTGGTCGCGATCCAAAGCTCGTCCGACCAAGGAAAAAATGGTCTGAGTCAGCTAACGAGCAGAAGCTCGGAGACCGAGACCGATCGATCCGAGAAATTTCGCTTGTGAGTCAAGCGGACTGAACCGGCAGGAGGCCCGAGGCTTGAAGCCAAAAGGCCAGGTGCCGGCTACCTCCCTATTATGCTAATTTAGCCAATTTGTCAAGCTGATTTGTAATGAAGCCAACTGAAATCTAACCAAATGAGTTCTAATTGAACCCTAATTTAAGTAAATTCCACTTTTTAACCTAATCTACCTATGGAGCCTAAACAATTACGTGCTGCCGAGCTCAAGACTAAGTCAAAACTGGGGAGACACGCCCAAAGGAGAGGCGTGGCCAAAGTTCTGACCTAGTCTGCTGAGCAGGAAGGCTGCAGCAACCCATCCAGTGGATTCTACAGTCATCCTGCTGGAGAACATCAGGTTGTGGAAGGTCCTTTGACTTACTTCTGCTCAGAACTTTCTATATTTTTCCAAATCCTTTATTTTTAAGATTTCTAGTAAAGATACAAGTGACATGCTGAATAGATACTATCAGAGTTAATTTGATTTATATACACTTACTAGTCTAAGTACCTTCGAGGGTGGCCTTTAAGAAGTACCTTTCTAGAGGTTATAATTTCTTAAGGGAAGGTTTAGCAAGAACCTTACGTGTTAATGACTCCGTTGACTGGTCTCGGCACTCCACAGGTTTTGGCAGTTAAAGATTCTTGGGTATGACTAATGGACATACCAAGGTTCTCCGATGACTGGGAGATAGATGCATGTGTATCAATACAAGAAATAGAAAGGGAAGAAGCAGGGGGAAAGAAAGAAAATTCGTTAGAATTATATAACACTCTGATCAATGGCTTCTTTTCTTTCTCTTTAACATGACAAACTCTAAAATTACCAGCAGCATTTGGGAATCAGAGTATTTCATAATATGAATTGTACGATAGCTGTAACTCAGCAACGAACAGTACAATAGGCTGGAACATGGAGAGGTGATTTCAAAGATCCATTAACTTGGAGACAATTAAAGAAACAGTATTTTCTGCATCTTCACACATGCTCTTCTGATCATCTACTTTAAAACAGTTTTTCCAACCTAGAAATAATGATGGTCAAGCACATCTCATTTTAAAATTCGGTTAGCCATCATTTTCACATGAAAGTTAGTTTCCATTGGTGGAGATCTGTCTATGGAATGTATAATCTGGTGCACACAGGAATACCCAGGCAATGCAAGTATATCTTGTACGTTTCCAAAATAGTTTACTATACTTGATGCAGAGACTCTATATTCTTTTTACTGTTACTGTTCTATGTTTAAATTTACACCACTGAAAGTTTAGTCTTTCACAATTAACCCTTTTTAAAACCAAGCTTCTAGCTCTTATACCTATAAAAATGTTTGAGAAGGGCCCAATAAAATTGTCAATCATATTAGAAAGGCTATTTAAAATAGAGCACTGGTTTACACATTTATGATTCACAACATTATAGCTCAGTGTTGGTGAACCTATGGCATGCGTGCCAGAGGCGGCACTCAGAGCCCTCTCTGTGGACATGTGTGCCTTCGTCCCAGCCCTGCCTCCCAACATGGCTCCCTCCTCACCAGCAGCCCCCGCCGGAGGAAAGTCGCCCCCGGGTACGGCCTGCACAGAGCAGCGCAGCCAAGGACATGGCAGCCGGGTAGCAGGGACAAGACTCTGCCCTTGCGCTCCATCATGAGCAGATGATGCTGCAGGATGCGGGTGGAGGGTGTGGTCACCATGGCGCTGCTGGGCCGCCTGGGCAATCTGTTGCGGTGGGCCATGGAGGCAGGTGGTCCTGCAGGTCGGCGGGGCACGGGGTGGCGGGATGGTTTTTGGGCAGTTGGTCTCTAAAAGGTTCGCCATCACTGTTATAGCTTATCTTTAACTTTGAGCTAGTATTACAAGGCTGTGACAAGATCATTTTAAAATTCAAAATGAATATACTGAAGAAAGATGAGGTTTTAAAAGAGATTTTTATCCCTTTTCCAAAAGCATTTTTAAAGGGGAGAATTTAAGTGAACCAAGAAAAAGAGCAGTCATATTAGGTTTTGTATATAACAAAGAATCTAGAAAGACTTTAAAGATAAATATATACCAATGGAAGATATTTCAAGCAACCAAAAGCTTGAAAGCTTTAACAAAAACAAATCCAGAGCACCCTAAGACAGTGGTTCTCAACCTGTGGGTCAGGACCCCATTTGGGGTCAAACGACCATTTCACGGGGGTCGCCAAACAACGCAGTCCGCCATTTTTTCCCCCTTTTCCTTAGCTGTGCTATTCCCTTTTATTCTATTGGCTTTTGAAAGCCAATAGAATAGACTCTCTTGAATAGAGTCTAATTCTATTGGCTTCAAAAGCCAATAGGAATTGTCCAGGCTGTCTCTGCCCTGCTGAGCCCGCCAAAAGTCCCATTCTGCAAACGGTGCTGCACCAGTTGAGTAGTCCTCAACTTACGACCGGTTGAGTAGTCCTCGACTTACGACCGGTTGGGGGGTCGCGGCATTAAAAAGGTTGAGAACCACTGCCCTAAGATAAGAAAAAACTATTTTTCCCCCGAGGAGCAGAAAAACAATGATATGCAATCTACCAACTTATCTTCTATGAACTGAATCTGCTGTATACACAGTATCATGTTATATAGGAACAATACTATTTAGATGCTTTGCAAAAAGTAAGTAAGGAGCAAAAACAGAATTTTGAATTTCTTGAGAGAACTTTATCTTCTCCAGCATGACCGATGGAGAATCCACCATAGATGGGTTATCCTTTGTCTTCCTGCCTAGAGACTAAGTTAATCAACTTTTGCCACCCCTCTTCCCCTGGGCCAGGAGACCCAGTTTTCGACTTAGACTTTGCCATATGAGACGTGGTAAGATTGGCTAAGTCTTAGGCAGAGACAGATCAGGTAGTATTTCTCTGTTATTTATTTCCCATCTATGGTGTATTTTTCTCCAGTCACTGTGCCTGCCGTTTGCAGGTTCTTGAGTGATTTCAGCTCGTTTGTTGTTGGATGTCCCGGGCATCGGCTGGAGATGCTTCCTTCTTCATTTTCGCCGGCAGTGGTCGCCATTTTGGGCGCCACCCAGCAGCGATTGTGTTTTTTTTGGAAATGCTGTCCTTCGTTTTCACGGCAGAGGTCGGGCACCACATGATCACGCTGCATGGGAAGCAGCGATTGTTTACTTTTGGAGAACTTTCCTTTCATTTTCGCTGGCAGCAGTCACAATTTGGGTGCCACGCCGTCATGCTGCATGGGAGGCAGCGGTTGTTTTTGACTGATTCGGTCAGATTGCCCCTGTTGGAGGCAGAGCAATCTGTCTTGTCTGTTTCGAATGATTTCATCAGGACACCAGGAAGGCAGCAATGGAATTTTAATTTTGGCTGCAATCTTGCAAGGGGTCCTAGATCTCAACAATTCTGAGCGGCGGTCAATTTTAAATCGCGACTGTCAATCGGACTTAAATTCTGTATTTCTGTTTCATGCAACGAGGGCAAGCTCGTCACCTTGCTCTTGGGTTCAACTACTGTAGGTGGCTGATGAAGTCTAAATTTCTTCATTTAGTGAAACACACGTCACTAAGTGAAACGCGAATAAGCTTGGCTGTTACCATTGAGTTGGTCTTACCATCACTAAGTGAGACATACGTCACTAAGTGAACTATTTGTGAACTGACTGTTACCATTCAACTGGTCTTGCCACCACAGTTGAACTGACCAGAGCACTGGACGTGCGCTTACTGGTCCTACTGCCATCAGAAGCATTGCATGGGTGAGGGCAGCACCACTCATTTGGTTGTGCAGTCACTTTAGAACCTTGAGCACACTGTTTCTTACATGGAGTGGCCTTGACACTATCAGTACTCTGTTCCTTACTATTGAGATTCCTCTAAGCACACCATTGGGTTATCTCCGATGATGATGGCAGACAACTTGGCATCTCAGACTTCACAGGATGTTCCTCTGCACTTCCATGAAAAGGAAATCCAGGTTTTCCAAACAGGAGGCAGCCGATTGACTTAAGACCAAGGCTATTTCTGTCAAGAAATCTTCTAGGGCGGCTGAAAGGGAGACCAGCAGGAGCCTCCAGGCCTTAGAGAAACAATCACCTCCCTTTTACAACCCTTTGTTATTAAGGTGATCTTGCCACCTCTAAAGGAGCCAATGGCGATGGCCATAACCATTAAATTGGTTTACCACCATTAAGTGGACTACACATGTGCTGGACAATACCATTAAGTTGGCCTTCTGTCACTAAGTGGATCACACGAGGGCTGGCCGTGGCCATTGAGTTGGCCTTACAATCACTACTAGACTTCCGTGTACAGGCTATTTCCATTAGGTTGGTTCACAGCCACCATCTGGATCGTTAGTGCGCCGGCTATTGCAGCCATCACTACTATCCAGCCCTTGGCCTCTTACTGTTGAGATCCCTCTCAGCTCACCACTGAGATACAGCTTATTTGCAATCGGAAAAACCAAGGCCAAACTACCTCGGGCAAGAAGCCCCCTGCGGCTGTTGGGAGGAAGTCAGCAGGCACCAGGCCTTAGTGCAACAATTCTCCATGGCCCCTTCCAGCTAAGGGCCTGGTCTTCAGATGTCTGCATCTGAGACGAGGGTTCGGTCTATTACAGAAACACAAATCGCAAAGCATTGAGGACTGCTTAATGGTTATAGCAAGGGTCGGACCATTAAATCCAGCCCTCCTTACCTCAAATCTGCTTAACCCCTTCCCTTTGTTGGGTCCTTCAGGCCTCAGGGCTTTGGACATATATAGAGAGGTGAGCATAACAACTACCATCTTGGGCTCGCACAACTCCCTGGCCTAGTGTTGGCTACCTCCTTATCCTGACAGAAGAGGGTACATTTGCTGTACCATTAAGGTAGTCTTATCGCTACTAGCTGAATTACTGTGAGCTGAACGTTACTGTCGAATTTGGGTTTTACCATCACGGTGACACTGACCAGATTCCTACTGGTCCTGCTGCCATCAGGAGTATTACATGAGTGAGGGCAGTACCATTAATTTGGTCCCACAGCCACGTTTAGCCCTTGAGTACAACTGTTCATTTCATCGAGTGGCCCCGCCACTATCAGTACTCTGCTCCTTACTATTGAGATTTCTCTTAGCACACCACTGAGATATCTCCTTGAGATCCCTCTCGGCCACCACCGAGATATCTCTGATTGCAATGGCAGACAAGGATGCAATAGCAATGATGCAATAGCGATCCTTGATATTAAAGGGATTAGATACTTACTTGGCGTATGAGAGGTCCAGGCACGGCTTCAATCCAGCAATTCCTCAGGTGCTGCTACGCAGGCCAACACTTCATCATAGGGCCCTACTATTCGGCCTCTCATTGGCCCTCAGGGTGTTTACAGGGCCCTGGCAGCGCTGATTGTGCATTTCAGGACCATCCGGGGCATATCTAGTGCTATCAGGTCGATATCTTCATTCCATGTTCCTTGGTTCAGTTGGCTCTGTCAGGCCTGCCATTATCTGTCAGGACCCTTCAAGTTACGGTTTTTTTCAACACATTTTCTGAAGAGACAGGCAGTTACCTACACCCACCTCCTTCGCCGGGGTGTGGTAAAGAGACACAGGAGGTGCGAGGTCCACCTATCTCGGGAACGTCTACACTGCATCCGATCCCTGGTCATCCAGGTATAAGGGGAGCGGGTAGCCACTCTGGCTATGCTTCCCAAGTATTTGAAAATATGATTTCCTGCATCACGATAGTGCCTTGGACCACACTACATTCCAGAAACCTACTATGGTTCTGGCGTCCGTTCCAGAGGCCGGGCACCAGTCCCCCCAACCCTTGGGTATGGTTCAGTCTCAGATCCGAAGATGCTTCCAGGGTGGATTTCCACAGCACAGCGCTAGCCAATTTGAACCTTGTTCAAAGATTCCACCCAGATCATCCTGATCTGGAATGCCAGCTTATTTGGCTGGAGAGTTCACTTGCAAGCACAGCTGGCTTAGGGCTGGTGCTCCCAATCAGCCCTGAAACACAACATAAACTGGTTGCACCTCAGAGCTATACTCTTGGCTCTAAGCCACCGTCACAGCGCAGAGGCAAGACAACACGTTCTAGTCCTCATGGATAGTATCGGCGAAAGCCCATAGCAACTGGCAAGGGCATACCTGTTCCAGGTTCCTTAGGACGGAAGCCCAGTTATTTGGAACCTGGGCCGAGACTAAACTCTCCTCCCTCGGGCCGAGCAGCTTTCAGGAAAGGGCGAATCGGCAGGTGGATTTCTTGAGCAGGCCGACAGTGGCTCACCTTGAATGGAACCTGCATCCAGATCTCTTCAGGGAGATATCAGAAAGGTTTGGCTCTCCAGTACTGACTTGTTAATTACTCCAGCGGATTCTCAGTTCCCGTGGTTCTTCTCCCGGTTCCCATCTCCTGGGGCGGAAAGGGTAGATTCCCTTAGGCCATGGGCAGAGGTTTGTTAGTGCGTTCCCTCCACTTCCTCTATCCCAGGCAGTTACCTATAAGATACTGCAGGAACGAACAGGGGTGATACCGGTTCTCCACATTGACCAGACAGCGTGATTGGCTGAACTCGAGGGTCTTTCAATCTTTCCTCTGTGGAGGATAATCCCAGGTTGGATCTACCTCAGCCAGGGGATTCTACAACTCCTTGAGTCCAGTGGCTCCGATTGACAGCCTGGCATTTGAACGGCGGCTCCTGACGCAAGTGTCTTACTCGTCAGACGTATTACTGTCATTCAGGCTTAAAGAAGGCCTTCATCTAACAGGATTATGATTCCACATGGGAAAATTTCCTACCTGATGTGGGGAGCAACAGTTGAATCCATCGATGATAATGATTCCAAAGATTTGGGATTATCTGTTGGAAGTGCTCAAGAAGGGCTTGATGCCCAATACAATTCGCAGACAAGTAGCTGCTCTGCCCACGGGGCTTACATATGGCAATTCTGAGCCCTTGGCTCAGCATTCCATGGTGTGGTTTTTTGTTAAGGAAGCGACCATCACTGGACTGCCTGTGGTTCCCAGATATCCCTTTGGGATCTGTCCAGGGTCCTACAGACCCTCACTTCACTTCATCTGAACCGTCGGGTCCTACGCTCTGAGTTTATGATGCTTGAGGTTGCCCTCTTTGTGGCTGTTACATCAGCTTGGCACAGTTCTGAAGTGGCAGCTCTGCCTCTCAGGGATGCCCTATGCATCTTCCATGTCAACAGGTTGGTCCTGCGATGGGCTCCCTTCTTGTTCCCAAATTCACTTCCTTGCTCACAGGGCACTGGAGGTGGAGTGGCCAGATTTTTTGCCCTCAGCCGTCTTACGACTTGGAACCTTAGTGGCACATCTTGGAGGTTCGCTGAGTCTTATGTCAGTACGTTGCGCGTACTGCATCTTCCCCCCCCCCGCAAATCTGCAGCCCTCTTCATTGCATTCCAGCCACTCCAGCCTTCGTCAAGAGGCCTGATGGCATCAGCCTCCACGACTGGCAGATGGCTTAAGGCTTGCATGGTAAGGGTATACCTGGCACTTTCCCTGCCAGTTCCCAGTGGGATCACTGCGCACCCGACTAGCTGTGCGGCAACCTCAGCGGTGTGGGTGACATAGGCATTGGTTGAGGAATCTTGTAGGGCTGCGGCGCCTTCTACCTTTGTGAGACATTATAGCCATGGATAGGTTCGCCTCGGCAAATATCCACGGAGTAGTACCAGATAGTGGGACACAGGCCCAGACTGCTTCCCACCCATACGGACAGTAGGGCTTTGGTATGTCCCATCTATGGTGGATTCTCCATCGGTCATGCTGGAGAAGGGGCGTTGTCTTACCTGAACGCCTTTTCTCACATGACGATGGAGAATCCACTCTCCCCCCCCCGTTTAGGTCCATCAGGTCCTGTGTCAGGGATATTTGAGCCACCACATGGTAATGTCATCAACGGCTACGCCTTCGTTGAAACTGGGTCTCTGGGCCAGGGGAAGAGGCGTGGCAAAAGTTGATTGACTTAGTCTCTAGGCAGGAAGACAAAGGATAACCCATCTAAGCTGGATTCTCCATTGTCATGCTGAGAAAAGGCATTCAGGTAAGACAACGCCCATTTTATAGCAATATTGCCAGCAGTGAATCAAATTATGTGGCCAAAGATAAAAGGGAAGAGGGGGAAAGACACAAAAGGTAAAAGAGATGGACAGAGACATAAATTTAAGCAAAGCTGTCCTGTCCTCTGAGCAGTTTTCATAAACTACAGACAAGGGGAGCATGCAATTGGCAAACCTTTTCCTTTATACTCTGGAATATCAAAACTGTTATCTCAAGCCATTTCAAATATAGACATCTACTATATGATTCATAAAGTATGTAAAACGGAGGTGTACAAAATACCCACTACATCTATTAGATATAAATTATATGCAGCTGTCCTACCAAATACAGGTTTATAGCCTTTCCGGTGTGCATTTAGCATCTGCAGCATTTATACTTCAAGTGACAATTAACAAAAATTTTGATCTTTAGTTTACAACCTTTTAATTTTGTGTCTTCCCTCTTGACCCTTTTTCCTTTGGCCCCATAATTTGGTTCATTGCTGGCAATATCGCCTTAAAAGACAAAGCTCTCTCAAGGAATTCAAAAATTAAAATTGGCAGTGCTTGATTAAGTAGCCCAATCTGCTCTAAACAAAAGGTCTTAGAACAGAAGGTGTTTTGTACATATCCGAGTGACATATCCAGATAAGACTAAGGAAACTCTTATCTGAAAGTTTAGAAAGACACTGCCTATCACTGTAGATGATTGTGATCAAATATATCCAGTAGACAAGTAGCTTTCTGCTCTCCTATGAAAGAAATTTGCAAACACAATTTTACATGATTGCAATCATGAAACCTGTCTAAATCAGATGTCACTGACATTATTATACCACCTGAGCAATCACTTTTGGGCAAGTGATTTTAAAGCTTTACAGATTCAGGCTAATAGGCAAGTGTGGATTACCTTTATATGACACTTACTTGCTTATTTTACTCAGGCAGTATGCTAATATTTATTTACTGTTCATGGTTTCAAGTAAATGTCTGCTACCAAAGTAACCATGACTGAACTTTTGTATGCAAAGCAAATATAGGCATTCCTTTAAAAATCTGTGAAGAATAACTTCCACAGTATTAACTTGCTAAGCATTCCCAAGAGATACCAACTCATGGACAGAAAGGTCTCCAGTACCTAGTCACCCATGAATAAACCCTGGATGCCAGAACCTGAAAATATTGATATTTCACTCCATATATTGATTAAAAGCACCTGGTGCCCTTGAATCTGAAATCTGGAATGTATTCATCTATGCTCCTCTAGAAATTAAGGTGAACAACTGACTCTCACCTGTCTCACAATCATTTACTAGGTTTCTGCCTACTTCTAGGTCTAGTGTTTTCTCTATTCATCCACTTTTAAATTAATTCTGCCTGCAGTATTTCTTTCACAATGTTTTGTTTTTTTTAAAAGAAGTTAAAAGCAGGTACTATATTTTGGTAGAGTATTTTTAAAAATAAAAATAATTATTTTATTCTAGTCCTCAGGAATTTTGAATCTGCAGCTCAACTTCTAATAAAGTACTAATCAATAGCCTGCAGTAATATGCTATCCTAGAAACGTGACTTTGAGGATGCCAATTTAGGTAAGTAGGTGATTTTGGAAGCATCTGCAGGACAGAAAACTATTCCCTAACTGGGAATTCTTCAAATACCTGGACAAAAGAAAAAACAGCAACAGCAGGAAAGTCTTTATTTTTAATACAACTATGAAATCTATAATGTATAGATTATTACTGATGCATTTATTGATTTCCTAATTTCTGTGTATAAAGATACACAGACACTGATCCAGAAACAATAAAATAAAATAAAATACAGCAATATAATATCAGTAGGGAAGGAGGGGATGATAAAAATACTCCAAGGAATACTCCTCCCACTCTTATTACTTACCAGTCTGTCAATTCCAGGTTCGATCTTGCGGTCAACACTAAGACTATGAGTTGAATGACTTAATACAGGGTCAGAAGGAGGCATCTCACCAAGCAGTACCAGTCCCTGCATGGGAAATGGAAAAAGATGATTGCACTTTGACAGGCCAAATTCTCTTTCAGACTATGCCAAGAATAAAATCTACCATTACATTCATTCATTATATTTTGTTTCTTTGTACCTATCCTCCCTTTTCTCCTGCAAGATTGTTTCTCAGTTTTCTATTAATTAGCAACTTTATCTTCACTGTACTGCATGACTTAAAATTGCTGCTCTGAAAAATTCAACAAATTAGTGAAAACATCCATTCTAGCATTAATCATATGCCAGAATTACAGCTGTACAATGGAGGACTGGAAAAGGAAAGGAAAAATATAATACACCCTTACATATCAGATTGAAAATGTTAGAAAGCTAGAAGTTTTTGCTCTAATAAGCAAACACCAACTGTAAAGTACTTCTAAAAGAGGGACTATGCTATTAATTTCATTAAAAGCTAGGTGATTCTGAAATCACTGAACATAATACTATTTCTACTAATAATAATACAAATTTAAAATGATTCCTTTTAGTTGAGCTTGATTCCATTACATAGATTTCTCCATGTAGTTTTTTTTCAAACAATATTGTATGGAAATGGTTTGCCATTGCTTTCTTCCAGAATGGTTTTTTGTCTTTTGTCTGAATCCATAGCAAGCAACCTTAAGATATTCTGATTGTCTCCCATTTAACTGTACATAACTGGGATCAGCCTAGTGTACTTATATGCTGACACTTGCTAATGTGTAATAAAAGTTAAATGCCAAAGTCAATGGGATAAGAAAAAGATAATGACAAAAAATGTTTTTGATCTCCTGGACTACACCATTTTCCCACTCCTTTTTCAAAAGAGTTCAGCCTGCAAAAGCTAAAGAGGTAATGCCAAAAATTGCCCCAACTTCCATTTTCCTAAAATCTCAATTGGTCCCTCTGATAACTTTGCAGAAATTCAATTGCTGCTTTCATGTTGTAGGCCTTAGGCTTAAAATATTAAAATTATCTTTTATTCCTCCTTTAAAACCCAGAAAAATGAGAAAATCTAATTAATCCCAGACACACCCAATATAACTTATGGGAGAAATATAATGCCCTCCTCCCAAGGAAAAATAGCCCATGCCTGAACAGATCTTTAGTTATTATCTAATTTTCTGAAACCACTTTTAGGTTCTCCCTCACATCATATAATCTAGGTATACAGACATTATCAACTGCTTCTTACTATATCACATTATGAAAACTTTAGGGCCTCATTAATCACTTATAGTATATGCATACATGTATATGTACAAAGAGACAAACAATGCACTGTTTGTTGTTAGTTGCGAAGTCGTGTCCAACCCATCATGGCTCCATGGACAACGTTCCTCCAGGCCATCCTGTCCTCTGAATATGAGATATTTTTTATATCTCTCAAAAATGATCTTGTAACAATTCTCAGCATTCTAACATAGAACCATCAAGTTATACAGTGGGGCAAAAAAGTATTTAATCAGCCACCAATTGTGCAAGTTCTCCCACTTAAAAAAATGAGAGAGGCCTGTAATTGTCATCATAGGTAGACCTCAACTATGAGAGACAAAATGAGAAAACAAATCCAGACAATCACATTGTCTGATTTGGAAAGAATTTATTTGCAAATTATGGTAGAAAATAAGTATTTGGTCAATATCAAAAGTTCATCTCAATACTTTGTTATATATCCTTTGTTGGCAATGACAGAGGTCAAACGTTTTCTGTAAGTCTTCACAAGGTTGACACACACTGTTGCTGGTATGTTGGCCCATTCCTCCATGCAGATCTCCTCTAGAGCAGTGATGTTTTGGGGTTGTCGCTGGGCAACACTGACTTTCAACTCTCTCCAAAGGTTTTCTATGGGGTTGAGATCTGGAGACTGGCTAGGCCATTCCAGGACCTTGAAATGCTTCTTACGAAGCCACTCCTTCGTTGGCCGTGCGGTGTGTTTGGGATCATTGTCATGCTGAAAGACCCAGCCATGTTTCATCTTCAATGCCCTTGCTGATGGAAGGAGATTTGCACTCAAAATCTCACGATACATGGCCCCATTCATTCTTTCCTCAGTCGTCAGTCTGGTCTCTTTGCAGAGAAACAGCCCCAAAGCATGATGTTGCCACCCCCATGCTTCACAGTAGGTATGGTGTTCTTTGGATGCAACTCAGCATTCTCTCTCCTCCAAACACGACGAGTTGTGTTTTTACCAAACAGTTCTACTTTGGTTTCATCTGATCATAGGACATTCTCCCAATCCTCTTCTGGATCATCCAAATGCTCTCTAGCAAACTTCAGACGGGCCCGGACATGTACTGGCTTAAGCAGGGAGACACGTCTGGCACTGCAGGATCTGAGTCCCTGGCGGCGTACTGTGTTACTGATGGTTGCCTTTGTTACGTTGGTCCCAGCTCTCTGCAGGTCATTCACTAGGTTCCCCCGTTTGGTTCTGGGATTTTTGCTCACCGTTCTTGTGATCATGTTGACCCCACAGGGTGAGATCTTGCATGGAGCCCCAGATCGAGGGAGATTATCAGTGGTATGTCTTCCATTTTCTAATTATTGCTCCCACAGTTGATTTCTTCATACCAAGCTGCTTGCCTATTGCAGATTCAGTCTTCCCCAGCCTGGTGCAGGTCTACAATTTTGTTTCTGGTGTCCTTCAACAGCTCTTTGGTCTTCACCATAGTGGAGTTTGGAGTGTGACTGTTTGAGGTTGTGGACAGGTGTCTTTTATACTGATAACAACTTCAAATAGGTGCCATTAATACAGGTAATGAGTGGAGGACAGAGGAGCCTCTTAAAGAAGAAGTTACAGGTCTGTGAGAGCCAGAAATCTTGCTTGTTTGTAGATGACCACATACTTATTTTCCACCATAATTTTCAAATAAATTCTTTCCAAATCAGACAATGTAATTGTCTGGATTTGTTTTCTCATTTCGTCTCTCATAGTTGAGGTCTACCTATGATGACAATTACAGGCCTCTCTCATCTTTTTAAGTGGGAGAACTTGCACAATTGGTGGCTGACTAAATACTTTTTTGCCCCACTGTATATTATATGGGACTTTCTCTTTTATAAATTTATAGTAGGTGCAAATTAAAAACAATTGATAACTATGATAAACGGTATGTTTGTAGGATGTAAGATTTTAGAGAACTTTTGTATCAAAATCAAATATTTTTGTTACCATAAAACACAAAGATATGGACAGTGGCTTTAAAAAAGGTTTTGTCTGTTTATTCTCCAAAAGCATTCAAGTTACAAACTCTTCTCTTTCAATTAAAGAAACACTGTCATTTCTGAAGCACTTTGTAAAAAGTTCTAAACCAGAGGTCCCCAACCTTTTGGGCACCTCATGCCGGTTCCGTGGAGAAAGGTTTTCCACGGACCGGAAAGAGCATGGTTTTATGTGCTGCCTGTATCACATGGATGGGGCTTTGTTTGTGTGGACCGGTTGCTGGCATGCCATGGCCTGGTACCAGTCCACAGACTAGGGGTTGGGGACCCCTGTTCTAAACTACCAGGCTTCACCATCACTTCTAGTGCAAATTTAAGTTTTGTGAATTTAGACCAAAATAATTCAATTATTTAATATTATTATTTATTAAATTTATTTGCCACCCATCCCAATTACATGATAACTGTGGGTGGCTTACAATATCAAAGAGTAGCCTTTAAACAGTTCACACAATCTTCACCACTGTCAATGTGCCCACCACTCAACGTGAAAGCATAAAGTTGTTCTTTTTACTTAGAAGCAGCGACCCGCAATTTGGGATGACAACTCAGTGTTAAATGGAAAATCATGTGACCTTGACGTGGGAGTTTACTTTAGCTTTCTCTATTAATTCTATTTGTCAAAAGTTGGTTGCGAAGTGATGAACATGGGACATTGTGATGGTCATAAAAGTATGCTAGCTGTGACATGCCACATGGCAATCGCATGATACAAGAACATTGCAACAGTCATAAATATGGATTTTTTTTAAAGAACACTATTGTTAACTTCAAACCATTGCTAAATGAGGCAATCTGTAAGCAAGGACTACCTGTACTTTTATTCTTCTATAAAGGTCAGAAATAAGCAGTAACATGGAAGTCTGTAGAGCCAACAGTGGCTGTTTTGCCGAATTATGGGCTTTGCCAATGATGCCAACACCAGGAATCAGCCCTTCACATTTTTTGTATCGGAGGTCAAAATTATTCAGCTTATAAATCTAACTTCTAACTCATTTGCCTATTTGAAGGGATAGAGGAGTGGGAAACAGATTTTTTTCACTATTGTTAACAAGAACAAAATTTTTGCAAGTGTTATTCCTGGCAACGTTCTCATCTACATAATTAAAATCTGTTTGCATTACATCAGGATGTCAAACAAAATGACAACTGGGCCATAAGATATATCCATGTTTACGAAAGATAGATAGATAGATAGATAGATAGATAGATAGATAGATACACACACACATACATATATAAAAATTAAGAATTAAACTAAAAACAGAAGAGTGTCGTTTCCTGGGTGTATACAGACTTAAAAGATAAAAGACAATCACCAGGAAATAAAAGCAATCAAGTATTTAATAGATACTTGATTGCTTTTATTTCCTGGTGATTGTCTTTTATCTTTTAAGTGTGTATGTATGTATGTGTGTGTGTGTGTGTGTGTGTGTGTATATGTCAATCAGAGCACAGCCAATCCCCCAGCCAATCAGAGCACAGCCAACCCACCCAGCCAATCAGAGCACAGCCAAGCTCCTAACCAATCAGAACACACCTCCATCCAATCAGAACACAGCCAAGCTCTCATCCAATCAGTTCATACCCCCACTGGCAGTTAAAAGGAGGAAACAGCTACAATCACACATTGCTCCTAGAAGCACAAAGCCGAAAGCACCAGCCTGAAGATGACGAATGAGACTTCGTCGAAACGTCGCCAAGACACTTCCAATTTTACGTGGGAGAAAACCCGAATAACCAAAGACCTACATACAAACACCCGCGAAAACCTCAGAAAA